TTGGGCAGCATGGCCGGAGGCTTTTAAGACTGAGGTCACCAAGGGCATCCTCATTGAGCTCGAGCAGGACAAAGCAAATGAGTTGAAGGAGGGTGATAAAAGGATGGCCAAGTTCGCTTCAGAGCAGTGGAAGCAACATGTGCTGAATGATCATCTACCCTATGCTCGAGAGTGCCCAACGTGCCTTCAGGGGAGTGGGAAAGGTCGGCCGCACAAGAAGGTGCAGCGGCCGGATGCCCTCACGTTGAGTGTGGATCTTTGTGGACCTTTCCGACCTGGTCATGATCGAATGAAGAAGTCCAGATACTTCATGGTGGGCGTGTTCTCCATCCCCGTCCGGAAGATTGCAGGCAAGGTGGCTCCTTTGCCGTTGAGTTTGGAGGAATCCAAGGGGGAGGTTGATGAGGAGGAAGCGCCTGGGCTAGATGAGCTGGTCCCGAGGTTGGAAGAAGTGGAGCCAGAAGAACATGAGGTGAAAGCGGATGATGTCAAGGCCTTGGATGAGTGGGCAATATTAGAAGTGGAGGCGGAGGACATAGAGATCCAAAACTACACCATGGTTGAGACCCTGGAAACCCGACAGGCAGCTGAGGTCAAGTCGTGCTTGGCTCGTATGGTGGCGAGACTGAAGTACCTAGGCCTGGATGTGAGAAGAGTGCACAGTGACGCAGCTGGTGAAATGAGAGGGACGAAGAAGTGGTGTGAGGATCGTGGCCTCTACCGGACCTTCACATGTGGAAGTGATTGGAAAGCAAATGGCAGGGCGGAGGCGGAGATTGGTGTCATCCGGCGTGCCATCAACACCCTGATCAGATCGTCTGGAGATGGAGAGGATTATTGGCCGTTGATGGCCAAACATGTTGGTGAACGTCGAGGACGGCAACAGCTAGCTTCGTTGGGCTTTGTCACACCACAACTGCTTCCGTGGGGCCAGCTAGTCATGATCACCACCAAGGGCTGGGACGACTTTCAAGGTCATTGGAGGGCCAGGAAGAAGCCGGGCGTGGTGAGGGGACCGGACCCAGACATGAGCCTCACGAGTGGTGGTCATTTGGTGGAGGTTGAGGATGGGAAGTTCATCCGGACTGATGACATGGTTCCAGTGGATGGCTTTGAGACCAAGGATGTGGTGGAGCTGGCGATTCGAGATCAACCCGCTGATCTTCTGGACAGGACTGTGAAGCCAAGAAGAAGGCTCACGGAGAAGACGTCTCTGGCCAGGATTGGGGGAGGTGAGATCCAACGTCGGTTGACCAGAGGTCAGGCATGGGCCAATGAGGAGTTCAAGAAGCTGGAATCGCAGTTGGCTGAGGAGAAGAACATTTCCATAGTAGCCGACCTGGACTCTGAGAATGCCCTGATGGAGTGCTTTTTGCAGGAAGCCGGAGCGGTGGTGAAGAGATTGGAAGCAGAAGCAGTGGTTTCGGAGGTGGAGGGGGAGGAAACCTTCTTGCAGACGAAGACCATTGGCCTCAATGAAGTGCGCAAAACCCTGCCGCTTTGGATTCCACCTTTGAAAGAAGAAATAGACAACTTCGACTCGAATCAGGCGATTCAGAGAGTGTCAGAAGAGGAAGCCATGGAGTTGGTGCGGGAGGCGGAGGCCAAGGGTCAGAGGGCTGAGATCATTCCCGGCATGCGGGTGTTCACACGAAAAGCAGGTGAGGGCCGGAGGAGGGCTCGCATCGTGTGTTGTGGCAATTACATGGAGTCGAGGACTGGGGAGGAGGTCTATGCCACGGGTGCCGACTCCACACAACTAAGGACGATGCTTAGAGTGGCCTCACTTCGAAACTGGCATTGCTTGTCGCTTGATGTGAAGTCAGCCTTTTTGCTTGCACCCAAAGCTCAAGGAGAGCTGGTCATCGTCAAACCACCTCGGATCCTCGCTGATGCTGGGCTCGCGAAGCAAGATGAACATTGGGTCATCACCTCTGCGATGTACGGTTTGGTTACCTCTCCAAAAGATTGGAGTGTGTATCGGGATGCCGAGTTGGAGAAGATGGAGGGGGAAACCACCGTGCCAAACGAGGAGGAGAAGCCTGAGATCAAGAAGTTTGGTTTCAAACCGTTGAGGGATGCCAACCTTTGGGCTATCCAAGAGATGTCACCGTCTTCATCATCTTCTACCAGGGAGTGGGGAGCGGTGCTTGGCTACATGATTGTGTATGTAGACGATGTCTTGATGGTTGGTCCGAAGGCAGTTACTGATTCAGCCTCTGGAATGGTTCAAAGGGTGTGGAGGACTTCAAGCCCAGAGTATTCGATTCCTGGTGGCACACCTATGAGGTTCCTTGGCATCGAGATCCAGCGGCTGGCAGATGGCACGTACTACCTGCATCAAGGCAGCTATGTGCGTGAAGTCTTGGAGAGGCATGCTGGGGGTGGCAGCGCGTCCTTCATCAAGGTCCCAGAAGAGAAGGAGGAGGAAGCACCATCTCTGGCTCGGGTGCGTCAAGCGCAGAAGATCACCGGCGAGTTGTTGTGGCTTGCTGGGAAAACCAGACCAGATATCGCTTGGGCCGTGATGAGAATGTCACAGTGGGCGGTGAAGCGACCTTCCTGGACAGTGGAGTTGGGTGAAGCAGTGCTGTCATATGTGAGGGCCACGGTTGATTTTGGTCTTCACTACCCCACTCAGGTGCCGGTTGACTCCGATCCGGATTTGGCAAGACCTAGGCCCAGGAGAGGTGGCACTTTGGAGGTCCTTGTGGATGCGTCCTTTAGACCGGGAGACAGTCACAGCATCTCGGGCACAGTGATTCTTCTTGCTGGGTGTCCTATCCAGTGGGAAAGCAGAAAGCAGAGTTTGATGGCACTCTCAACAGCCGAGGCCGAGTTGACCGCTTTGGTTGAGGGCCTACAGTCGGGACGATCAGTGAGGGCCTTGGTGGAGTTGTTGTGGGATGATGTGCATGTGGAGCTCTACAACGACAACCGGGCAGCCGTGGTGCTAGCTACTGGTACAGGTGGAGGTTGGAGGACTCGCCATCTTCGTATCAGAGCCAGTTGTCTAGCAGAAGCGGTGGTGAAGAATGAGATTTCTCTCTTGCACCGGGCCGGAACATCGTTGTGGGCAGATGCTTTGACGAAGTCACTTCCGGCACAATCGTTGGAGAAGTTCTGTAGGGGCATCTTTCTTTTTCATGGACGAGAACCTGGTGAGGGGGAGAGGGTCGCTCTGGCTCATGGAGGTGAAGTGAAGCTGTCAAGATGCATGGCTGTGTTGTTGGCCGGTGCGTCAATGCTCCCTCAGACAGTGGCCAGTGAGGTGTGTGAGAAGGAGGAGATGCCTCGGGAAGAACGTTCCAATTTGTTTGGCGACCTTGGCTGGTTTCTTTTCTTGGCGGGGCTGGTATGTCTCCTGCATGTCGTCAAGGACGTTGGAGTGGGGGTGATCAAGAAGATGATGTCCGCCAGGGAGGAGGTCAAGGTGAAGTTGCTATGTGATGAGGCTGTGGTTCCGAAGAAAGGTTCTGAACATGCAGCTGGGTGGGATTTGTCCACTACGATGAAGTGTCAAATTCCTTCTGGAGAACGACGTTTAATCTCCACTGGACTTGCTGTGGAAATTCCCAAGGGTTGCTATGGTCACATTGCATCCAGAAGTTCTTTGGCATCCCAAGGTCTAGAAGTGGCAGGAGGGGTGATTGATGCAGACTACAGGGGTGAAGTGAAAGTCATCCTTGTCAACCACAGCTCAGTCGAGAAGACCTTTGAGGTCGGTGACAGAGTTGCACAGTTGATTGTGGAGCGAATTTCGGAAGCCCCAATGGTGGAGACCTCTACTTTGTCCGGGACTGGGCGTGGAGGAGGGGGTTTTGGAAGCTCAGACGTTGCGGTGCGATCTATGAGGACCCAAGGACCCTTTCTTCATCCAGGTGAAGACCTTCTACCAGATGGGGGGCTACAAGATCGGGGTGAACCTCGGCACGAAGGCTCTTGAACAGAGAGTGGGAGGTTTGTGCATGTGCGTGAAAGTGGAAGAGTTGAGACATCGAGGGCACTTCCGGAAAGCATCTTCTTTGAGACGTTTTCTTCACGGGGTGGAGAGACTATGCAGGTGTTTCTGGAAAGGTTGGGGAATGGTGAGCTCCAGTGCTATTCCTGGTTGCTTGCAGATAGTGTGCTTCGCATTGTCGCCAACATGCCGAACAACGACAGATCGCAGGAGGTGTTGGTGCAGTTTCCAGGTTTTCTGGTGACTTTGAAGATTCATGCTCACAGTGCGGAAAGGAGAAAGCTGTATGATAGTGACATGTCGGTGTCGCCTGCTTCTTCGGGGCTGGGTTCGAGCGTGGTCACGATTGGCTGGCTTGATGATGGAAGAAAGATGATTCGTTCAGACCTTCGTAAAGGCAGCCACTGCATGCACTATTTGAAGCAGAAGTGGACAGGCTACAGCATTCTTTTCAAGGTGACCGAGATCCGCCCAGAATGTCAAGTAGCTAGCACTGGCTCCCTGTGAGGCTGGAATAAACCACAAGAAGCATGGCACGTTCTCAGGGTGGCATGCTGAGCTCTGAGGAGAACACGAAACGTGTGGAAGGGCTGGATTCTGATTTGGGCGAATGTGGCCGGAGCGCAGAGTGTTTTTTCCTTTAGAGAGTTCGGCTGACCTATGCCCTGAGTTTGTGAAGTGTGAAGTAAGGGCTTGAGCTGTGATGAATTTTTGTGAATGAGATTTTCTTTGAGGAAGTTGCAAAAGTGGCACCAGGTGTGTGCTCGGGATCCCTTTTTGTCCTAAATACGATTTAGGAGGGGAGAGCACGGAATCCCTTTGATGTTTGCTTGAAGCGTTTCGAGCATGTGAACAGTTGACGACCGATAGCCCTTTGCTTGTTCAAAAGGAAGTGTGAGCGCTTCGCATTTACGGTGGTTATATACCAAGGACTGCTGCATGATGCGGTGTATACACACAGATATATATATATTTATATACATGTTACACGTTAGGAGGGGAACTCGATTCTGCATCTTCGACAAATCTGCTGAGCGTCTGGAGGTTCGTTCTCCAGGTCGTCGACTTCAGCCTGATCACTGCATGGCGAGGTGGGGACCATGTTGATGGGGTTTGCTTCGGTTCTCTTCGATTTAGGTCTCACAAAAAAGTGGGTCAAACCATGTCACACCCCAAGCATTCCTGCAAAACCTGCTGCCAGCTTGGCGCAGCAACTTGGAACAACCATCCGCTTTCTCAGTTCTGAGCTCCTCCCGCAACACTAGTTTGATGATGCCCCAGGAATCCACATACCTTCTGAGAAGGTACTTGGACACTCCATGCCTATCCCGAGCCCATTCGGCTACAGGATTTGATTGGGAAGTTGTTCAACACGTCTGATAAACAAACATAAAAGAACACCGTAGAAGAGCAACCACTCATCGAAGTCCCTATATTTAGTAATTGCCCCTTTCCGATCACCCAACCCCGTGTCCTCGCGCTCAGGGTCATCAAAGGCCACCTGGCGGCACTCATAGAATTGACCTGTAAGTGCAGTAATCAACAAATACATGCCAGGACCTTCTGTTTGTGAATGTGTGTGACCTTTTACGGGTTTAAATGACCTCATCATATCCTATCAAAAGGTCAAGTTGAAGGTCCTGGCGAGCACCTTTCCTATTTATGGGAGTCGCTCAAAAGTATTCCACGGTCCCTGCATCGCACAAATGATGCGGTCAGAAGCTCAGGGTGTGAAACGCCCCTAACCAGTGGGCTGAGAGTTTAGTCTCTCTCTCTCTCTCTCCCTCCTTCCATCGCCCTGAGAGTTTAGTCATTGGCCACTATTGGGTTGGCTCACTCAAAAAACCACCTAAACTCTTTTGCGGACCCCTTTGGTGCACTAACCAGTTACCTGGGCCATCTTGGCCTGCTCACGCACGGGATCAAAAACAGTCTGGCCTAGTGTTTACAAGAAGTTTGTGGAATAACACCCACTCAAAAACTAAATCCACAAGAATGTTTATTAACCTCCTTGTCCTTAGAAGTGTCCTAAACAAACCAAACAATAGTTGAACTATTTATTATGTTGCGCCTTTATTGAAGGGCAAATTTCAAGTACTACTGGTGTTGGCACGAGTCGCCCTTCAACTTCCAAGGACCACATGTGAAGGTGATGTACTTTTGTCACGCCTTGAGATCAAGACATATTATGACAGCTCAGATCTGCTGACCAAAAGCATCCAAAAGCTAACAAATAGCTCTTACACTAGCTCCTGCTATATATTAGCTCTTGAACTTCCAGGCTTCATGAGACCTGTCTCCTCCCGGGCCTTCTTCGGCGTCCGGTGGCTGTACTTCGACGTGGAGCAGAAGGAGATGGTGTTGGCGGAGAGGAGCCTCGGGCGGGCTGGACGTGTGTTCGGCGCGAGCCCCAGTGCCGTTCTTTTTGGCAACAGCCGGAGCATGGAATTCGGATTAGGGTTTGGGCTTGCTCAAATCTATATCAACAGCAACAAATTAGAAGATTAATGGTACTTGGATGCAGCTGAGCTTGGAACTGATACAAAGTCATTGCTCTTGGGCACTGGATAGGTCTACTGAGAGGCTACTGGGTATGGATCAGGCGGTGTCGAGGATGGCAAGCATGGAATCACTGCTAAAAAGCAGTCGCTTCACCGATGGAATCACCGACTGGGTGCTGTGCAAAGTCTAGTGCTCGGCTGAGGATCCGGGCTTGGGAGAAGCTTCTTGCTGGATGGTGGCTGGTCTTGTCTTAGCGAATTGTCAAGAGTCAGAGTCTCATTTCATGCGCATCACGATTGATGCTTGGGCAACGCAACGTGTTCATGCCATGAGTCACTGCCTGCATGAAAACGTCTGTATCGCACTTCTGGGACTTAAACATGTCTCTACGACGACTGCGTTGTCCCTTCGCTGGGTGCTGGACGCCAAGCCATGGGCCTCGAGACGATTTGACTGGAGACGAGGAGCCAGGCCAACACATCGCGTTCGTCACATCCCATGGGACGGGATCCAAGTGGGGTTTGCTCTTGATCTGTTGCAAGGTTCAAGTCTTGACACTCCTAAACTGCCGTAGTTTAGAACAGGTACAGGGTGACCCCTGGTTTTATCTCCTACTTGACCTCCCTACTTGCTGACCTGCGCTCCCCCGCTCCGAGCGTCCGCACCACGCAAGGCCTCGGCTGCACTGAGGCGTTCCTCGGGTGTCACGACTAAAAGGCCTGGCAGCGAGGACCGGAGGTGGTGACTGCAGGGGCGGTTTCGGGACGGGTGAGGTGCAAGTGGTGTAGCTGGGGGGCAAAAGGGTGGAGCCAAAGGGGTACAAATCATGAGAAGGGAATCTTAGGCATATCTGTGCAGTGCCCTGAAGTGTGGTTTCGGGCTATGGATCTTGATATGTATCTTGATGAAACCACTCAAATCCTGGGACTGAACTGAATCTCCGGTTCTAAAATAAGTGAATTGTGTGACTTGTGCGGCAGCTTGCCTTGTGTGGGTCGCCCGGTTTGTTCGGCTGGATGCCCGTTCGAGGTGAGGTCAAAATGTCTTAGCCCCTTTCGCTGGTGAACTCTTGATCATCAAATGGCACGTCGTTGGAACTGTTCACATACTCTTGGTGCAAAACGACCACTGCCTTCCTGTGACAAAAGCGGGCACTCCAGTATTTTGTGGTCTCGCGTATATGTTGTACAGGTTTTGGTATACCATCTGGCAATACAAAAGCTATCGTAAAATACAACTGCGACATCATCCACGCGGAAAAAGGCCTAGTTCACGCATGTTCTATTGAATACTATTGGTCCTGACATGGCCTTGTAGTAGCGACAAGGCGTCAGGCAGCCCCTCCAGCTCCTGACTTCAAATCCATCTGGCAGCAAAAAACATAACATATTTACAAAAGCAAATACAGCAGAGTCGTGCTGCACTAGCTTGAACATGGGTGCGTGTCAAAATAGTTTGAGACTCCAGGTGTGCAGAAATCACGCCGCAGCCGACCAGAAGGACTCCTATGGAGTGCCCAGCCCCCACAAATCAAAGCCAGAGTCATGGCACCGCAGGGCGCCGCAGGTTCCGGACCCCTTTCGTCCCACCTAGACCGGACCGGCTGTCCTTGGCACACAGGGCGGCGTGGGCCGCATCGCCTCGAGGCCGTGAGGAAGTAGTCGCGGCGTTGATCTTCAAAGTGAAGATAATAAACAACGACTTGGAAAAACCCAGATGTGCTTCTTTGACAGCTAGACTGATTGATTCTTGGTTCATCAAACCCCGGTTGATCCAATTCAGAATCTGATATTCGTTTGGATCCCACCGGACATCCTCTTCAGGCCTTGGTGGTTTGCCAGTCTACCGCTACCGAAGCACATCTCAAGCCATCGGCCCATGGACATAGATGGCCATTATATAGGGCCACGAAGCTGCACTGGGTATTTCCAACTTCTGCTCGAAGGTTCCACACCTTCTGTGCCAAACTGATGGCCCCGAGCATTGGACCCAGGTGTATCAAGGTGTTAGGTTAGTTCGGTTGATGCTCTTGCCAAGGCTCCATTTAACACCTTCTTGCTGGGCACAAAGCCCACGTTGCAGTTCCTCGGAGGGAAGAGCACTCCCAAACCAACCCCAACGATGCTAGGACCCATGCGGCTTTTTGCTCGGCAATGCCCTTTTTCACGCAGCGATTTGCGAGCGATTTCCTCCCAAAGGCTCGCTGTAAATACGTTTGGGATTCGTGAAGTGAACGGGTCAAGGAAACGATGCCGAGGTGAAGGGAAGATGAACACGCGGATGTGCCGCCAACATCTCCATGATCTCCATTGGCAGGTTGTGAGGTCAACCACACGGATGCTGAGCACGTATCATTATACGATATTATATTATGTTATAGTTATATTAACATATTATATAGAGTGAGCTGAACTTTGAGCCCCAAAATCAAGAACCTCCATGAAAAGAGTCTAGGAGGCTGTGTTGAGCCCTGCTTGTGTTGCGTTGCTGCTGCACAGAGCATCGCAAGCCATGGCCGTGTTGTTGGCATCACACTGCTTGCCCAACCGATGACTCCTGTGGCATACGTCAGCAAACGCAAAGGGATCATTCCTGTTTTGACTTTTGGTGGTCGACTTGTCGACTGGTCGTGTGTGTCGAGCAGTTTTGCTTTGGATGTGCAAATTGTGTGGCAGGCGACTCGTGTGTCGTGAACGTTTGGAAGTGGCACTGGCACTGACGGCACTGAAGGCTTTTGGAGTAGTTCTGGCGCTACTGCGTTGCTTTGGTGATGTTTGGTGTCTAGAATCTTTTGGCCTGGAGTCTCACAGTTCCCTAGAATGGCCCTAGAATATGGATCAAATACGGTCGGATTTCGTGGCAAGCACAGCACAGTGGACCTCAAAGTGTTCGTTCTCATAATCTGTCATTTTCCGCTATACTTGCCGCTGCCTAAAGCTTTGCATCCACCTTCACTGTCCAGCATCCCACCACACATACCAAACCAACACCACCTCATCCTTTCACCCTCCAGTTGGAGCAACAGCCTTTTGGGCCCCAAACCGAGGCCAGTTTCGCCTCGAGTGTCTATTGGTCGCCTGTCTCCGGTGTCCAAGGGTCTGTCTCCAAGGTGGACGGCCCGTGAGAAGGATATACATGACCACTCCGATGGACCACAAATCCGCCTGGAGTCGAGCGAACCGAGCGAACCCGAACACGAACCCCCAAGCGAGACTTGGCCGTGAACGGCTCAAAACGAAGCAAACCGCCGGGGAATCCTATTTCTTTCGTGCTGGTGTGCGAGGCCCAAAAAAGGGACCAGAAACGTCAACATCATTCAATGTCATTCAACATCTATAGCGGTTGGAAGGTGAAGCATCTTGAGTCATTACAGTATCTTGGGACTTGACAAAACCATCTGACAAGTTTTGCCAAATCCTTTGGACTGTCGTGCCTAGCCTGTTTCTACCAACCCCTACCACTGGCTTTGGCTTGCCAGTGTATTGTTGGCTTGTATGTTGAAAAATGTTGACCATGCCACGCTTCTAGTGAAAATCCTTTGTTTTACCGGCAGTGAACAAGCACCCTCAAAGGCCATCCTCAAAACTCAGTGACAAACGCTGTCAGTATCTGGCTGAATTGTCACAGCCTGAGACAAGGAACACCATAGGACCTTAGGAACACCATCTGGCACTCGGACCATCTTGGACCTTTGGAGGGTCGTTCCAAGGTTCTCCAAGTCCAAACTCTAGACTTGGAGGGTGACTTTTTTGGGGTCCGTGTGGCCCACGTTCTGTTTGGCCCCTCAAGTTGGAACGAAACAAAAGGCGTCTCTGCAACAGCACCTTGGTACCATATTTCCTTGAGAAGACCTCCGGGGCGACGTAGAGCAAGGAACCCACCTTACGGCGTAGTGTGGCAGCTGCTTCGCTCCAGAAGCCCGAGCTGGCGCATGTCATGGTTCCTTGATTAATTATATATATATATATATATATGCATTATTGGTTGCAAACATGTTTTAGTCTACCCCCTGCCACCGGATACCAGCATCAAAAGTGGTCTTTGCAAACCCACGCGATTCTTTCCCGTGGAACTCAATTGCGCCTCAGGCCTTTGAAGTCATTGCCACTATTTCAATTCATGGGTTGTCACTGGCACACTCCTTGCGGTATCCTTCCAGAATGTTCCTAGCCTTCCGGCAGCTTTCCTAGCCCCGCAACCACGGGAATGTGTTTGATCTGTGACCAAGTAGGAGCCGCCCCGCGCTGCCAAACGCCCGCCATTCGGCTGATGCCGACGTTCCGTTGCGCGGCCCTCACGGGGTCCAAGGGAGCGGTACACAGGTTCACTGTTTTTGGTGGAAAGATGGGTGGAGCTGGCTACTCCATGCAATCTAGGCCACGTATACATTTCCACTTATAGTGTCAACCACAAATGCTTGGTCGCTAGGCTGAGACCTTACTAACTATAGCTTGCCAAAAAGAAATATGCCAGTGCTCATTGAAGAACTGTTGACATGGCTGCGGGTCAACACCAGGAGACCTTGGTTGACCTACCGACGAGGCGCTTCCCATGACCCTTCCAGTGGACCAGGGCTCCAAGTTTTGACCCACCCGCACATATGCTTCCACCATCCTGGTGTGCGGTAGTGTTTCTTTGCCCTCTTGATTCGCGCTTCCTACCGCAAACCGATGCTCCCACTGGCCCTCTTCAGGGGGTGCTCCCACTGAGGGCAGGGCGATGGTTCTTCTTTCCACATCAGTGGCAGGGCAGCAAAGCCCGAAATCGACGAGGACTAACTCCTGAGTTGGATGGTTCTTCCTGCATGTTTCCATGTGAGTTGGTTTAACAAGGTCTCAGCGAAGAGCACTAGAATCTAACAGGGTGAGACCAACACAAACTGGTTATTAGGCTATATAGACATGTGCTTGGATTACTTGGATCATTTATTGATTCACTGCAACACTAGTCCAAACATAAACATGATGATGTTTTGAGGACCATGATGATAGGAGATGATAGGAGTGTTCAAGCTGACCTACCTCAGCATCAGACATCTTGAAAAGAAATGCCTCCAACTCACTAGTGACCCTTCAACTACTCACTCATTCGCCCAGCAGCGGACTTGGGATCTTTGCTCCGAAAGCGCAAGTTCTCCTCAGCGGTGCTGTTGGGGTCAGTGGGGTGAAACCACCAAGTGGAGAGTCTACTCTACCGGGACTGCATGTACTGAGAGGTTCGGTCCGAGTGGAATTGGACTCAGGTCCTCTGATGATATACTTGGGGTCTGTGAGTCTTTGATATAGAGTATGCAGTCTGGACATGAAAAACATTGACATGAACACATATTTTCATGTCCAGTTTGTGCTTGCCAAACAATCACGCCTGTGATCCAAAGGAACACACCAGCTACGTGCAGCGGGAAAAAGGGCCAAACAGTTCACCGCTCAGTGCGACGCTGGTTTCACGTCGCGATGGATGATGCCCACGTCGCACACGGAGTGGATGTGTGCCAACGCCTCAACAACAGAAGGCTGAATACCGTCGACCGATACGGCTAAGAGGAAGGATTTGATAAAAGCCTTGTTAACACCCTCACAATACAACTTATACTGTCGCAAAGGGAAGTAAACGTATTGAAGACTCATTGAAGACTAATACATATATATATATACTGTATATATCTACTATGTACTTTTACAACTATATGTCTATGCCCTTGGTCTAGTCGCCCAACTCTCGGCATTGGCTCTTATTCACTCAACTCTACAGTAATCTACGGTCCCCAGAGTGTCCGAAGAGCAAGATAGATCCGTCACGGCAGAAACGGGTAGTCCTATCATGTCCTAGTGGAAATGGAATGAGTAGTAACAAGTGCATTGCTACTAGTAACATCTAGTAACAAGAAGCTACGAACGTTTTCGATGCACTTGGGTGTTGGTGCTGGGCGTAGAGATGCCTCGAAGGCATGCCTCCAAGTCATTTCAAGAACGTGCAGGATTCAAATGTTCTGGAGGTGATGGTTGTAAGACTTATCCATCTAAGCGTATTTAATCTCATTTTAAGTCCAACCCAAAGAATCTCGAAAACATGGACACTCGCATGAATTTAGATACTTTAGTTGAACCTCTAAGGTTATTCCTTGTGGTCTCCAACCCTATTGATTCTTTTACATATTGGCAGGTCGTTCATGCTACAACTCCTGGAGATCATGTTGACTCGCCCCCCCCGCGGTGTGATCCCTTCCGGTCCCAGCCACCGAGAGCGAATTCTTGATCAGAACCCGGGCATGCTCTTCCGTCCTCAGGAACGAGGAGGCGACCGGTGGGACCGGACCGGGGACCGGACCGTTGGAAGCCGGGGGCCGTACAGTATGGTGGTTCCGTATGGAGGGGTGGCGACCATACGCGCGGAGGTGAGCAAAAAAGTGCATGAGCCAAGTATGTCTCGACACTTCGGTCATTCATCAACAACAAATGAACAATTGTCCAACCGATTAAAAGACGTGTCATGGTGGAGAACACATAGAATGCAAATACTCTATATAGATGCACCAAGCACATGAAACAATATAGAGCAATAACAGCACCATCATCACTCTCCTCATAATACAACACTTTGTCCCTATCATCCCCTGTGAACCTATGACTTCCATTTCAGCAAGTCTACCATGATCGATCATCCCTTCACATTCTACCATGTCTTCGTTCTTTGGTCGACCACAGCCTGCCTCTCAAGCCCCAATCCCTTCTGCCAAACGTCAGGGAGAGTCCCGTTCCGTAGCTCGTGAGGTGTTCAAAAAGGTCTGGACCTTCAGCAGCCGTGGCTAGCTGCTACGGGTCAAAACCCTGGCTCCCTGGCTTAGAAAGCTAGCTCACCCCAACCCGTAGCCCTTGGATTTTGGGGAGACTGGCATTTCAAAGCTCGCAGCTTCGAGAACCCTTCCTCAAACACGATCCGGACCCTCTGTAATGAAATGGAATCCTCCTGATAAAAGCTGGCAGGCTGGCAGGTGGTCACCAAACAAGTCCGTGTCTGACTCTCCTGCATAACAAATGCTCAAATAGGTCATCAACAGGATTAAGAAAGGGGAGCCCACCAACCAAAATATTGCATCCTCTTCCTTAATTACAAACTAGCTCATGCCACACTTCTCATTGGTCCACTGCGTCAATAAGTGTACGGTGTTCATGTTTTTAAGCTGAACAGTTTTGACAGAACCCTCCAAGATCGGTGTAACAACCCCAGGCCGTCTGGAGGCTCATGCACTTACGTTGGTTCTCGGATTCCACGACTCTTCTGCCCCGGCCACACACATCGCATGGCAACTGAGCTCCATCACCTTCCAAGAGCTCCATCACCACAAAGAAGTGCCTCAACTGCCGTCTCCATGGTCTCATCGCTCACACATGAGGACAGCTGTGCGCCGTGATTCTTAGACTTTTGGTGGTTGGCGCGCAGCGGCTCTCCTCAGGCACTTGTCTTTTGAGTTTCCATTGCCATGTTTAAAAAATGCTGAACTTCGAGGTTGCCACATGTTGCTACCAAGTCCCACTGGCCACCCTATCATGCTGTCGAGATCTGCGCGTCCAGCCTCCTGATTGGGTGCTTCATGCTAAAGCAACACACGGGCCCTCCCATCATCCTCGCATATTCTGGGAGAAAAAACAATTGTCCCCGTCACCTTCCCATATCTTCCCATCAATGATCCCCTTCTTGCGAAGGAAGTCCAAATAAGTCCAGTGACCTCCACGAAGAGCGAATCAGTCGAACTCAGAATCCCCAAGAAGTTTAAACTCAAACTTCTCATGACTGGGGAAGCCTTCCGACCTTTTGGCTCCCCAAGGTCACCCCACCTTAGAAAACACATATAGAAATAAACAGTATAAATACCAGGACCCTCCTGTCGGGGTGTCTATTTATAGCTTCTTAGCTGTGATTCGGGGTGTCCAACCACCTTCGCCAAGGAGCGCGTCGCTCATCACCGAGTCCAAGAGCTGCACCACATTGGGGTGGGGCGACTCCCGGGCCCTGCGCGAGTTGTGTACCCGGACAGACCTGAGTCCCCATGTGTAGGAAGGATCGAGTTTCTCAAACCTCTCAATGAGGCAAAAACCATGAATCAAGATCCTACATTCTCGCCTTTTGCACGTCGACTCCTTGAGGTGAGGAGTTCGTTTTTGGGGAAAGTGAGCTGAGGAAAGCTCATGGGTGATAGGAGTGAGTAAAACAAGATGTGCTTCACAGGGCTGATTCTTCAGTTGCCGATCACTGGGTCGATCTGGCTGTAAGTCAGGAATGGAAAAGCTTGTGAATCACCATGGGGCCTGGTTCTTCAAAGTGACCTTTTGATAACCTGACCTGGTTTGACACTTAAGCCACTTAAGCCGCCCTAAGGGTCACTTAGGAACCTTCAAAAGGTCACTTTGAAGAAGCTGGGAGGTTGGGTTTTATTTTTGCTTTTGCCGTGTTCACAGCCTTGGCCTTCCCTCTGCAGTGCTCTCCCGTCGACCGGTCCAATAGGCCCCAGGGGCATCTGGAGGAGGAGTGAGATAGTGTCGCGCTCCACAAAGTTCTTGTGGTAGTGCCTTAGAGGGGCCGGACGTGTCTCATTTTGAATCTGTCTTTGTCATTCATCAGCGACCATCCAGCGCCAGCTTCGCGTCCACCGGTACGGTAGGTGCAGTGCAGCCCGAACGCCAAACGTTCTTGTGATAGAAAATAGAGAAGACACATGTCTGGTATTTGGGTGTTGGATCGTGTTCCAGACAAATCTTGTCACTCTCCAGTTGCAACGCCTGTTTTCCATCTGGACTTGACCCTGGGGCGCCTGCAAACTTGTTCTGAAAGGCATGGGGCTTCGGAAAACAAAACGCATCTCCAGTTTTCTGCTATTAGCGCATTTTTTCGGGTAAAATGCACCAAGGGCTGCAAATACACAAGTTTGCTTGTTCTGATTTATTGTCTATTGTCTTTTTTGGGGGGGTAGTTGAAGTTGCTCTTGATTGTGCAATGTGTTGTTTGCCTTTTGCTGTTTTGCTCTTGCAACCGGTGGTTTTCCGGACTCCATTGTTTGAGTATGTTTGAGTATCTTGCAGCAAACAGCACAATACACAGTGGTCTTGACACAATTTCAGATGTATAGTTCTTCTGCTCCTGCAAAAGTAGCGCAAAACCTAGCCGTGAGACATTTTGCTGCAAGCAATCACAAACAGTCTCTTTATACGGAGCACTGTACTGTATTTGGTGAATGCAATGGCGATGTTGACCAAGCAGCAGTCGCTCAACTGCTAAATCCTTCTTATCCTGTTTTCGATGTTCCCCCAGTTGCTAGATCAAGCGATCAAGCCATCATGACCTCCTGGAAAACGCTGGGCCGCTCGGCCCAAACATATGCCACAAATTGCCATATCAAATACCATACACTCCATGTCTGGAATAAATGCATACATTGACCCCTGAAACCACCCAAATGTAAGCAAACATACCAAACTTGGAGTGTCTGCAGGTATCTGATCCAACGATTTTCCCACCCGACGCCCCAATCCCAGCGGCTGTCCAACATGTTCTCGATCCAGCAGCTTCACCTCACCGTCATGCAAATTTGACTTCACCAAGTATGGGGTTGGAAACGGCAAATCATGCCATCGTTGAAACGTTGAAACGGGTTGAAACGATGGAACCAGGACCCGCAGAAACCACCGAATACGAGAATACACAATTTCTAGAATCGAACCCTGAAACTACGTTGCTAAGCCAAAGGTAGTCAATGACCTGTTGAGACCCCAGGTTGAGGGACTGAAACAATTTTGTCCCCCAAGCCGAGCCTCCTTTTGCTTTTTTTTTTTTTCTGGAGGTGTGGCTCGAAGGCTGGGCATATCAACGGATAAATGCCGCGAAAGATGCGACCCTTCGCAGCATTGCAGTTGGGATAGTAGCCCCCCCAAAAACAAAACATAGCATTGTAGCTATCATCATTCGCCGTAGCATTGTCGTTGAGAGAGCCTTCGGCTCCCACATGAATACAGTACCCCTTTCGAAGGACAACAAAAACACATTCTGGATCATCCTGGATGAGTTGCGGCCCCGGAAACAATGCAACAAAAGCGCTGAGCCCGTCACAAACTGGTCTACCTTAAGTAGGCCTCCAAGCAACAAGAACACTCTCATACCCGCAGCTTGGCGGATCTGCCCCGTTCCCCCACGAGCCCCATTCCGCCATGTGCTGCTGGTGGTACTGCACACTGCAGACTGCTGGATCGATAGTGGCCCACATAGGCGGTACCAAAGGAGCCTTGTCCAAGTTCCTGAGATCACGGGGTTCCAAGGAGTGATGATGCGCTAAAGGGTGTTTCAAAGGAGCTGGATTCCCAGGAATTTCAGCGCATCGTGGGGATGTCCTACCCAAGTCAGACTCAGACTCATTCGATTGGGTTTTGTTTGGTGACTCTTTGATACTCTTTGTACAAGGGAAAGGCACATTGCCATGGCAATATGCAACCCTGAAACTCACTTTTGGGGACTTGCATCCAACACACCCCGCTGACCTATTCTTGACGGCCCAAAAAACATTGGCAGACAGACTCTGACTCAAGGAAGTGGAAGACAGATTTGCCGAAGACCATTGTGCTCTACGAACCTCTACACACCGACATGTTCCGACCTGTGAAGCGTACCTCTGTGATGTCATAGTGGTCGATGAGCTTGGGCGCCACCTCATCCTGCGAAGTAATGCGTGGTCCATCCATGGCGAGGAAAAGAAGCCGATCGGACAAGTCAGTCTTACAAGCCAGTTACTTGTAAATAAGGCAAAACGAGACAACGTCATGAGGCGCAGCTTCATGCTTTGGCATGAGCTCATGAAAAGAATCTAGAGACGACCGCCGCCCAGAGACCTTGTCGTAGTGTTTCTGTGCGCAGGTGGTCGGCAAGTTGAGGCTCTGCCCGACCAAGCCCTGGGAGAAGTGGACGCCGTGGAGCGTGCGAAGCGTTGAGCACGTGGGAAGCCAGTCGTCCGCGTCTGGAGAAATCATTGAGTCTATAAGGTCCAAGGGCATCGCTACGAACGGGGCTCCTGGCCGTACTACTAGGAGCGATCGGACGCTACTAGGTCCTATCTAAGGTCTATGGTCCAATCAACCAATCAACCAAGCAACGATATTGAATCGACCAAGCAACAATCTAAATCTTGCCCAGGGGACTAACATGCAGCGATGGAATCTGGGTGCAATGTGTGCATGCTCTGCAAGAAAAAACAAAACACCCGCCACAGAACACCATTCAAATCCCAAGTTTGAGGTAGCACATAGCACCACTATGTCACATATATACCCCCAAAACCAAACATATAAATGCAAATTTAATCAAATCCATCTCTTCATCCTTTCTATACTCTGACTGAACCACCATACCATTTTCACGCACGCGTGCCCTCTGGACTCCGCCTGGGCCCAAAGGCTGCGGATCTCTTCTTCCCTTAGAGTGACTGGTGCGGGGTTGGAGTTTGGAGGCTCACAATTGTTGCAAAACAATATTGAATGGAAACGTGCGTGCCTATCGTGCCTCAGGAATTTTAACGTTTGGTGCCAAGGCTTTTTTGTAAACACATCGGGTCAGTGGATGTGAGAGGATGTGAGTGGAAGCTCAGGCCGGCTTGACCATCAAAGCTGGTCCCAAGCGCTTGGGGCGTTGGAAATTCGTCGCTCATTCACTTCAATCGATCAAACCCCAGCAACACGCCCAACGTCACCGCAACTGTCAGTACCAAGTGGTAGACCCTACACCTCGAAATATATATGCCCAGCATTTCTGCCTCCCTCGTGTGCTCATGACCCGATCGACTGCGTGGAATTCTTCGAACGCGCCACTGGCTCCACCCGGTGGGGTTCTTCCGTCGAAGACACTCGAAGGCGATATCCTCCAGCTTCACCGGCCGTCGCGAGCGGCGATTGCGCGGCTGCGCCAGCGGCGTGGTGGGGTCCATGTCCCTGAGACGGTCACAGGAGTGGTGGATTCAATCGAAAAACAAAAGCAAGCGACGATCCATGGAAGTTTAGCCATGGCACCCGATCGCCCTGCTAAAGGGCATCGGGGCACCCTTTTCTGAGAATTTCCTTGAATTTCCCAACTAATTAAATCCTTTCATTCTGATGATATTTGATGATATTTGAGGATATTTGAGGTATGTACTTTGTATGAAACTGGTGAACTTGGCGATTGAAACACATGAAGAGCCATTGCATGAACCCTCAAGAACTTCCATGTGCGACAAATTCGTCAAACAAAATCTAAGACAGCGCCGCCAGCTACCAAATAAGTGATTTGATAGTTTTTGAACCCGTGGTTCGAATCATATGATAGCACTGCGCTCTTTAATGATCATGCGCTCCAATGCGCTCCTCTGCCACAGCTCCGCTCTCTCTCTCTCTCTCTCTCTGCCTCTGCTCGTCGTCGCCCTCGAGGCCCAAGGCCCGGAAGAGCTCGTCGAAGTCGTCCTCTTGCAACCCGCCCTGGCACGGTGCACGGCGAGAGGGCCGGGGATGATGCCGTGTCGGGCTGGTTTGGCGGGAGAAGAGGATGTCTCTGTTAAACACCTGGTGGGGGAAATGCTTTTCCATGCTTTTCCGCATTGAAGTAGGAGGCGTATTTCGGCTCTATATTTTTTGCGGGTGAAGTGTTTGCTCCCCTTGGCCCCTCTGCAAGGGCACACAGTGCACCCTGAACGAGAACCAGCATGATGTAGGTGCGATTGAGGCTTGCGAACGCCTTTAGAACCATGCTGAAGTCAGCTCCACCTTCAAGCAGCAGAACAGCCATTTTTGTGATGCTTCAAATTTCTCATTGTTTCACGAATCATAACTCGCCGAGGTTGGCAAAATTTGGCATGAAGACACATGTCTGCATTCAGACTGAAGCAGTGGCCAGAACTGAACAAACGCACCAAGTCAACACCCTTTGAGTCAACCATGTTGCAAGATGGGAACGGCCCGCTGCTGGCCAAAAGACGCGTAAAACCGACGCGACGCCTGCGGTGGAGCAGCGAATGTCTGCATACCGATGTCACGGGCCCAAACCAGCTCCTCAGGGCTTGGATGCTCCCGCCCCACGTACCGCCCCTCAGGGTGGTCCTGGCAGGTTGCGAAACAATTCATACACAAATGAACAGAATAGAGAACAGGGCATATGAACCTGCGGCCGCTGGGGTTTTAAGTGGTTCAGGTTTAGCATGTTTCTTCACTCACTATACCATGGCCATCAGTCGTCATCAGTGACCCGTGGGAACAATTACCGAGGTCCCGGTCTCAAGCTCAGGTATTTGAGGACAACAATCGAAGACCCCGAGTTCGTCGAACTGCACCGAGGCCGAGGTCCTTCGCTTAGTTAGGCTTAGTTCGCTTGGAGCGCAATGACTGTGTCACACTGAGAAACATTGGCCAGTTCTTTACATGTGGCTGTGGGTCAACACCAGAATACCTTGGTTGACCTTGGCTGACCTTGTTTTAGACCCATCCCCACGTCGCACCCGCGCCCCGCTGGAGCGCTTGGCCGGCTTGGCCTAGCTCGATGCACCCGAGGTGCAGAGATGTCATCGTCGATGAGCAGTGCCTTTGCCCAGGCTTCAGCGCCTGGGGAAGACCGATCAACCGATCGTACCAGTATCAGTTTAAAGACGGTGAACACGTTTGATATTCATGTAGCCTTGGGGTAGACAGAACTCATATTTTTCAGGCTTGTGAAACTGGCATCAACGACAAGTGTCCGCACCAAAACAGGGGGCGCCTAAATGCTCAAGGCTGCCGCCCTCTTCGTAGAGGCACTGGATCACACCAGCCTTGCCGTCCAACTGTGCAGCCTCACATGGGGGGAGGTTGGACCCGGTCGGGTCAGAGACATGTTGTGACGCTGCCCCAAGCTCCCCCAAACTACCCCAAACTCTATCTCTGTACGTTGTATGCTGATTGTATCGTATTTTGTCATATGCTTGCATATGCATATACTTTTGTGGCGGATTTGTTGTGAGTGGAGCGAGCTAGGTGAGATAGCTTCAGCAGAATCCCGCCTTGCCGATAATGGGGCCATTGATCAACTCCATCAATCCTGGCCATTCCGCATCGCAGGACCCACTTCGAACTTCCAGCAGGTGTATCCATGAGCCCCCCACAAGCACAGCTGGTGACCTCTCTGACCAAAATGTCCCAAACTCGGCGCGAACCCGCCGAACCCGCCGGCCCTGGGCGTTCGGGTCGCCCTCGGGGTCCTGTCTCCTGGAGCGCGCTGCAAATGGTCTGCTCGGTGCTCTTGGAGACCACCGCCAACATGAGACCAGCCTCCCATCCCCGAAGATCGGCGAGAAAGCGGAGGCCAGCGCATGCTTGAAATCGATCGGTGGACCGTCGCAAACAAATAGAAAACAACGACTCCTGTTGTGTGGTGGGTCGCTTCAACGAAAAAGAAGGGAAGAAGGACCATGTCAGCTTAGTAATTAGCTGGAAAGTAAACCATAGGATTTCGACCACAATTTTGATTTAACATGATTTACTATAAAGTGTTTTATCCGACTACCGTGGTTTTACAAAGCAGGGTTATTGACTACAAAACCATGTCCATCATGTTTGAATTCTCTTAGACGGCCAGGGAAAGCGCCATGCCTCTGAACCCTGGGGAGGGGAGTTGCTGTTTGGTTCCCAGTCTCCCCATCTCTCACCACAAAACGCGCAAACGTCCCGTTTCTCGACGGGACTCCCGTCTGACACTTCGGCCTCCCTCAAGCGCTCAAGGCGAGGTCGCAACAAAGAAGTCCTCAGGATGGACCATTTGGAACATTTTCCGGTATTGTTTCAATAAGAGCGAATCCATGCCGTAGTATGGTGTGAGGTAGTTTGAACGAGCTGATTGTGAGCATGACACAGAAACAATGGGTGCCAGAATGCAGGATCAAGCGTTAAAAGCATCTGGCTAAACATGTATTCCAAAAGGCAGCGGTTCAGCCAAATGTCCGGCCTCAGTCCAATTACACTTTACCGCGCAGATGATTCAAATCATGCAAAGGAAGAAAATTGCATTTCTTGCATCACCAGGGGCTTCAAAATAGCACGAATTCATCTTCCAGCCTTTTAAGCCGGTTCCAAAAACGTGAAAAAAACACAGGATTCTAGAGCGAAAATGCCCCCCCCTAGCTAAAGCTATTGGCTTGCCCAGGCTAGCTTACGTATACCGCGTGCCCTATAAAAACGCCTCGGCACCTTCAGTGCGGGCGGATTTCTCTCTCTCACACATTGATTTCACCATATAGTTTTTTCTAATTTATTGTTTTATCCCTCAGGGGGGGGGGTAAACGCATGTAAACACGCCTTTTGATCAGGCACATGACTCAGGAGTTGGCTATCCCAGCCGACTATGTCACTAGACCCGTAAGTCCTAAGTCACTAGACCCCAGTCTATATATATATATATATTAGACTGTTCTTTAAAGAACGACTATATATGACAACATGTAAATGGTGAGTATTATTTTTATGTATGTCTTTGTTTCATGGTTTAAATCGTGTTGCACATATAGACAAGAAAGGGCCTGCAGTATGCTGCAGTGGCCGGCCTCCGGATGACCAGATCCAATAGTTAATTTCAATATGATTATATATGTGGTTTTACGGACGTTGCTTGCCTTGATGTGATCGATCGGTTTTTTCTGGCAGAACAGGCTCCCCTAACGTGGCTCAACATAGCTTCCATATTGCACAACATAGCCCTTGAAGTCACTATCTAACGGACGTGTCTGCGAGATAGGGACTTGAACGCAAAACATGGCCCAACGAGGGCTCGAAAGGGACTGGAATAAAGTAAAGAGAGTGCCTAACATAGCCCTAGAAGTCACTATCTAAAGGACGTGTCTGCGAGATAGGGACTTGAACCTCGTAAACATAGCCCAACGAGGGCTCAAAAGGGACTGGAATAAAGCCCCCCTTCCAACGTGACCGAACATAGCTTCCAGATTGCCTAACATAGCTTTAGACGTCACTATCTAAAGGACGTGTCCGCGAGATAGGGACTTGAATGTCCGGATATTTGGTGTCCGCGAGATAGGGACTTGAATGTCACAGGAGCAGAGATAAGCAAAGATCAGGTCCAGGAACGGTAACATTTTCGTGTGGCTCAACATAGCTTCCATATTGCCTAACATATAGCCCTAGAAGTCACTATCTAACGGACGTGCTGCGAGATAGGGACTTGAACGCAAAACATGGCCCAACGAGGGCTCAAAAGGGACTGGAATAAAGTGAAGAGATTGCCTAACATAGCCCTAGAAGTCACTATCTAAAGGACTTGTCTGCGAGATAGGGACTTGAACGTCGTAAACATAGCCCAACGAGGGCTCCAAAGGGACTGGAATAAAGCCCCCCCCCCAACGTGACCGAACATAGCTTCCAAATTGCCTGACATAGCTCTAGAAGTCACTATCTAAAGGACGTGTCCACGAGATAGGGACTTGAATGTCCGGATATTTGGCTCCACAGGAGCAGAGATAAGCAGAGATCAGGTCCAGGAACGGTAACATTTTCACGTGGCTCAACATAGCTTCCATATTGCCTAACATATAGCCCTCGAAGTCACTATCTAACGGACGTGTCTGCGAGATAGGGACTTGAACGCAGAACATGGCCCAACGAGGGCTCAAAAGGGACTGGAATAAAGTAAAGAGATTGTCTAACATAGCCCTAGAAGTCACTATCTAAAGGACGTGTCTGCGAGATACGGACTTGAACGTCGTAAACATAGCCCAACGAGGGCTCAAAAGGGACTGGAATAAAGCCCCCCCCCCCACCGTGACCGAACATAGCTTCCAGATTGCCTAACATAGCTTTAGAAGTCACTATCTAAAGGACGTGTCTGCGAGACAGGGACTTGAATGTCCGGATATTTGGCTCCACGTTGGGGGGGGGGGGTGACTTCTGGGGCTATGTTCAATGGAAGTACCTACCTTGACCCGTTCCTGGAGCATGACTGCAGTCCTTGAGCCCTCCCATGCGGTGCGGGCGGTTACCGTCGCGAAGCGACGTGAATCACATGCATCATGACATGGGCAGTTGGCACCTTTTTCAACAACCCTTTGTTCCTATGTCATCTTGCACGGCCGTGGCGTATTTTTGGCCACCTTTCCTAAGTCATGGGATCATGGGACTTCGAGCTTTGGTCAAGAATCCACGGTCTCTCTCTCTCTCTCTGTTTCTTTCTGTCTCTGTCTCAGTCTTAAAGCATCTAGGTGAACAAAACAGGTTTTAGACCAAAAGACTCTGGACCCTGGCACTTCCTGACCATCACTCACAAAAATGCCTTTAGCTCTTGGAGCTGACCCTGCCACTGCTGCCAATGGCATGACACAGGGGTTTTAAACACAGGTTTCCAGTATCAAGTCCTCAGTGATTTTCCTGAATCCTTGTTTTTCATCGTTTTTAGGTGTTTTTCAAACGTGCTCTAGAAGTCCTGCTTTGCAATATTCTGCCTGATGACTTGGAACGCTGTAATTTTGAGGTATCTCCGTCAACTCCTTAATTAGTCCTCAGGACCCAGTATATATATATAATATCTATATAGAGATCGAGAGAGAGAGAGAGAGTGAGTGAGTGAGCGAGTGAGTGAGATGGACTTCCTGCAACTTCCTCTCCAACCAGGCGACCGTCCTTCCCGTCCGAATACCCGACCCTCGCTGCGTGCCTGGCATTCAGCTCGGCCATCTTCGACGCGTGGGACGCCCGAGTGCCCGGGGTCCTGGCGTGGGAGGCCCAAACTCCAAGAACCAGCACCAGCCAACAGGTGCTCAGGAATGTTCTTGTCCTCAAGAAATAGACCCCCACCTGACTGATCGTATGTGGGATGGTCTGTTCAATCCAAGGTTACCACCCGCTTTTTTGGGGGTGCTGGAAGTACCAACGAGTTTAGGATTATGGCGAAACTTATGGATCTTCGTGGAGGATTCAATGGCTCTTCCGAAGCCGTACAAACGGTCGCACACCGATGGATGTTGAATCACACAGTCAGTTCATGTGTTTGAATCCATCTCATCCGTGCTGCACAGCCATAAGCCACCTAATTTAGATATTACCAGTTTCGTGGTGCATTGAATCTGGTTCCATTTCGTTGCAACAACTGTGCCAGGTGGACTCCGTCAAGGTGCCGTCAAAGTCAAAGAAAATCACTTCCTCGACGTCGGCGGAAGGTTATGCTTTTCACGGTGGGAGCACTACGAAAAACTTGCCAACTTGTTGACAAACATTCGCATACTTAGTGTGGCATTGTCTGACTCACATGTTTCTCATGTTTTCGAACGTGTGACACACTCAAAGTCCCATGTCCGTGGCCCCGCCATGCCCCTCGTGCGGCGGCCAAAGGTCAGCACTCAGGCCGTTTTGGTGTGCAGGACCAAATCAAAATATGACCCCATGACATCCCATGACCGAAGAACACCAAGGATTGATGCCGGGTTCAAGTCAACATGATCTCATTGGACTCGGTTGGACATTGAATCTTAGGGCAACTGACGGGAACATGCGTTTTATGCACAGGAACGGCACAGGGGGAGCTGTCTCAGTTCTGTCGCAAGATGTCGGAGTGAATTGCTGGCTCCGATGAGCGGCCATTGGGGGCCAACTAAGTTGATCAGCAATTGAACACCATGCCGACATACAAGTAGAACTCCTGGATGATCAACCTTCTGCACTCAATGGCGCACCCTAAGGGAGCCAAAGCTGATAAGAAGTCCTTCACATTTTATCTTTTCACCATGAAAACTGGTGACTGCTGAAGCAAGTCGCTTGAACCACCTGCCAGGAAAGGATTCAGTTAACTGAATCCTTTGCGTCTACATTCTACCATTCTCTCTTTATTCTCTTTCATATTTAATTAAGGGGCAACCAGCACCTCGCATCACCTCGCCACATGACCCCCCCCAACCACACGTCCACCGCTTCCCCCCAAGCGTCCACATCCCCGTCGATGGCCGAGAGATCACCCCGATCTGGCTGGGAGGAAACGGCCTCACGGCGAGGGGGTTCCCGCGTTCCGAGGCGCCGGTCGAACGCCGGTCGAGCGTCGGTATATCCCAACCAGCCTGTAGCGGATGATGATTAGATATGGTTTTACAAAGGTTGCAGGCCTTTCCTGTAAATTTGTTGTGACGTTCTTAGTAGCCCAAAACTGTTACAGGATTTTACAGGTAATAGGACAAATCCACCATATCCCGTCCTGTTTTGGCCAAATGGCCCAATGGCGAGGATCATCAAACATCTCTTAGACTCTAGACCATCCGAATTACCTCAGTTTTAAGCACCATGCAAGGACAGCACCGCTGGGTCACCCAGTGTTTCACTTCGAAGTAAACCATGTCCGTCACCCATGCGGCGGACGCTTCCACAAATTTTTGACACCAGCGACAAGTCGACGCGCAAACCTGACAAGGCCATTCTGCCGCTCACACCGACTGAATGCTTTCCCCCCACAAAGGGCCCCACCGTCGGCGCATAGGAAATGGCTTGGGAGAGTGATCCTTAGTGGACACAGCTCTGAGTGTCAAACATTTTTGGGAAGCTGCGTAGCGATCTGGTGGAAACAGTTCCTTGTAGTCTTTGGACCGTTTTTCTTCCTGAATCAGACCCCCGCGGAATGGAATGATCCTCAATTGCGGGCGTGCTCGGTACCTCGACGTGAGGATGGTCAGATCACCATCCGTGCAGCCCATACGACATCGGAAAGACATCGGATGAGGACGTCGCCTCGCCCCGTTTTTGGCCAACCCCGGAAGTTAGGTCGACATGCTAAGTCGACAGCTGGAAATGAAGCAAAACAACTCCGGAAGTTAAGCATGATTAATAATGTAATTATTAAGATTTCAACGTTGCAATAGATTCAATCTGTTTGATTACTTGAATTTTGCAGCAACATATGGTCTTTAGTGCGTGTCTTGCTGCAGAAAGAATAACTACTTTGTGCTCGATTTAGTGTTTGGGCTCATCATGTCTTTGTTGAGGAATTCTTCGGAATTCTCTTCTGAATGCATTGAATTCTTGTTCATTTCTTAGTTTCCAAACTCACGCAGCTCCACACCTTTCCGATGAAAAATGTGTTCTGAATCCCTGGAAAGAGACGACCACAATGAAGAATTGAACAACATGCATTCATCTAAATTCATGCATCTCCATTCATCTGAACCCCAACTCAAAAAATATACCTCCGCAAGATTCCGCAAGACAAACTCCCTTTTCCATTGCAGGAATATCACCCTGAACCTTTCACCAATACTTGTGTAATTATGCAACAGCTTTTGGGTTTCTTTAGGCACTTTTGGCGGGGGTCACCTGTTTGTCAACCACGTGTGGACACTACAATAGTCTTGAATGACATCGACACTGTTTTCTAGCCCGTGAACCCTAAAACAATCTAAAACAAACCACTAACCCTTCAAACAACTACACCCCCTGCAATAGTCATGGAAGTGGAACAAAAACACACCCTGTTTGTATAGGTCAATGGCCGTAGGTCCGACCATCCGAGTCCCAGGGGCCATGTTCCACTTCCACCTCCCTCCCTCCGACCTCAACGTAGCCTTGTTCAGTTCACGTGTGAACTCCCACGACCCGGACGCACTGGACGCAGAGTCGGACGCCGTCTTTTCAACGACTTGGGCGGGTGAGTGTCAGCTCAAGGCGCTGGGCCACGAGGGCCTCGCCCAAGTCCTGCAATTGAACGGAAAGGGCCCACAAACCCCCTTGATCGTTTTTGGACATGATTCGGTGCGACAGGCTGGGCGACAGCCCAGCAAATATCCCAAAATGATTCACATTTTTTTGGATTGTGCAGTAAGTAAAGGTATGCGTGTGAGTGTGTGTGTGTGTGTGTCACCCCCTGGGCCAAGGGTTCACCACTACCGACGTTCCCACTTTCGCCAACTTTTCCACCACCACAAGCAGGGGGATCAGGCTTCCAGCGACTAACCTGATCCAACGAAGCTGGGTCACTGGAAGGGAAGTGGTCGAGGACGCTCAACCATGTACCTGCAGAGTGCTTCACAAACTGTTACCCTCCTTTTCCGCTTTTTGATTCATGGTTGTTCTCATGATACCTCCCTTAAACCTTCCCACAGCTGCTTTCAGCCGCCGTCGTTCAGCCGCGGTTCTGCAGACAAGTGAACAATTTGTTCAACAATTCAGTTGCGCTGACCCTTTCACCTTGCGTTTCCCTTGGGGCTGCTCTCAACCGCCGACGTTCAGCCGCGCTTCTGCAGACAAGTGAACAATTTGTTCAACAATTCAGTTGCACCGACCCTGTCACCTTGCGTTTCCCTCATTCCTTTCGACTTGGGAACTGAGTTAACTGAATACAATTGTCGAAGTGTGTTTCGCTCAGCCGTCCCACTCGGGTGCTGAGTGTGATCCCCGTCATTGGGGCGCTGTCTCATCGTGCAAGCAGTAACTGACCTCACCACCTTTCACAGGAACTTCACTGGAAGTCACCGACACATCCACCGAATTAACTGCCACAACGGCCGCCGGGCCTAAACACGGGAACTGACAGTTGTGCAACGCTTGCTTTTTTGAGATTTTTGACGGCTAAGTATTCACATGTACATGTGCCGCTAAGTATTCACAGGCCAGACAAATTAATCGTGCACTTTTTTCCCCCTCCCTACCCCTGGGCCTCCTTTGCTACCCCACCCGCTACTCGGGAAACAGAAGGAAATCGCACTCAACACACTTGTGTGTTGGTGCCTTTCCTTCTGTTTCTCCTAGCCTATTGCTAGCTACCCGGGCGGTTTAAGACAAATGTCCCGCTCGCGCACTACTTTCATTTAACGGTTCATTTAACTAAGTGGGCCTCGTAACTACCCCTATCTTTCTTTCTTAACCTCTTAGTCTGCTTTTGTTTTGTTTGCTTTGTCTGTCTTTCGAAGGCTTTTTAGGTGGCTATTAGTTTTTCGCAGCGCCAATATTGGCGCTTTCTGTGCAAAGTTCCACCTTCACACACTTGCGCCGGAATCGGCTGTTTGTGTGTGTCACCCCCTGGGCCAAGGGTTCACCACTACCGACGTTCCCACTTTCGCCAACTTTTCCACCACCACAAGCAGGGGGATCAGGCTTCCAGTGACTAACCTGATCCAACGAAGCTGGGTCACTGGAAGGGAAGTGGTTGAGGACGCTCAACCATGTACCTGCAGAGTGCTTCACAAACTGTTACCCTCCTTTTCCGCTTTTTGATTTATGGTTGTTCTCATGATACCTCCCTTAAACCTTCCCACAGCTGCTTTCAGCCGCCGTCGTTCAGCCGCGGTTCTGCAGACAAGTGAACAATTTGTTCAACAATTCAGTTGCGCTGACCCTTTCACCTTGCGTTTCCCTCATTTCTTTTGACCTGGGGCTGCTCTCAGCCGCCGACGTTCAGCCGCGCTTCTGCAGACAAGTGAACAATTTGTTCAACAATTCAGTTGCACCGACCCTGTCACCTTGCGTTTCCCTCATTCCTTTCGACTTGGGAACTGAGTTAACTGAATACAATTGTCGAAGTGTGTGTGTGTGTGTGTCCACCCCTGGGCAAAGGGTTTCCTTCCACCGTTTCACCCACCTTTTACCCACAGATCCAACCGCAGGGGGGCAGAGAGGACTTGCAAGGCTCTGCCCAACGAAGCTCCTTGCAAGATCCTAGGAAGCGGAAGCTGATCACTTCCGTGTACCTGCTCGTTCTCTAGCAAGCTGTTACCCTACTTTTCCACGGTTTGATTCATGGTTCTTCACGATACTTTCCCATAACAACAGGTTTCCCACAGCCGCCTTTCAGCCGCCTTTTTGCCGCTCGTCCGCTGCTGTCGCGACTCTGCAGATGTGCACAAACTATTTGTTGAAACACCTTCAATTGATCGGACTTATCACCTTGCCGTTGAGCCATTCCTTTCCTCGGGGAATTGAGTGTAACTGCATACAATTGTCAGAGTGTGTTTCGCTCAGCCGTCCCACTCGGGTGCTGAGTGTGATCCCCGTCATTGGGGCGCTGTCTCATCGTGCAAGCATTAACTGACCTCACCACCTTTCACAGGAACTCCACGGGAAGTCACTGCCACAACCACCGAATTAACTGCCACAACGGCCGCCGGGCCTCACCACGGGAACTGACGGTGTTGCAGCATTTGCATTGTTCTGTTTGACGGCTAAGTATTCACATGTGCATGTGCTGCTAAGTATTCACAGGCCGGGCAAATTAATTGTGCATTTTTTCCCCCTCCCTACCCCTGGGCCTCCTTTGCTACCCCACCCGCTACTCGGGAAACAGAAGGAAATCGCACTCAACACACGAGTGTGTTGGTGCCTTTCCTTCTGTTTCTCCTAGCCTATTGCTAGCTACCCGGGCGGTTTAAGACAAATGTCCCGCTCGCGCACTACTTTCATTTAACAGTTCATTTAACTAAGTGGGCCTCGTAACTACCCCTATCTTTCTTTCTTGCCCTCTTAGTCTGCGTTTGTTTTGTTTGCTTTGTCTGTCTTTCTAAGGCTTTTTAGGTGGCTATTAGTTTTTCGCAGCGCCAATACACTGGCCAGAAGAAAGTTGCGCTTCTTGATGTTGAAATTCATGACAACCCTATCCCCCTAGAATCCTACACCATGAGACAAGGGAAGGTGTGGGCGGTCATTTGTCACCCCGGAAAGCCTTTTATTATTATAAATTTAAAAGAGTGTGATAATTGACCGTCCCACACCTGCCACGAAAATTAGACTTGTTAATTCGATCCGCCGCTGACCTCAGAGTGTTTTGTAAGAAGGCTAACAAGCGTAAACTTTTGTCTGCCTGAAGTATTGGCGCTTTCTGTACAAAGCTCCACCTTGAACCACCCACTTAGCCAACGAACACTTCCACAAAGCCTACCACCGCTTTTTGAAAAAGCGCCGCTGACGGCGACCTGTGTGTGTCCACCCCTGGGCTCAGGGTTTCCTTCCACCATTTCACCCGCCTTTTACCCACAGATCCAACCGCAGGGGGGCAGAGAGGACTTGCAAGGCTCTGCCCAACGAAGCTCCTTGCAAGATCCTAGGAAGCGGAAGCTGATCACTTCCATGTACCTGCTCGTTCTCTAGCAAGCTGTTACCCTACTTTTCCACGGTTTGATTCATGGTTCTTCACGATACTTTCCCATAACAACAGGTTTCCCACAGCCGCCTTTCAGCCGCCTTTTTGCCGCTCGTCCGCTGCTGTCCCGACTCTGCAGATGTGCACAAACTATTTGTTGAAACACCTTCAATTGATCGGACTTATCACCTTGCCGTTGAGCCATTCCTTTCCTCGGGGAATTGAGTGTAACTGAATACAATTGTCAGAGTGTGTTCGCCAGAAATGAAGCTTCAACCATTCGCCCCTGTGATCCCCTGCGTATCCCTCCCATTCGCCCGCGTGCTGTCTGCCTGTAAGAGCTTGCGAGCCTCTTCGTCATCAAGGTCCTCAACAGTGCAGGTTGACACGTCAAACTCATGACCCAGGTCTGTTCATCTACACTTGCTATGTCCCAAGGTTGGATTTGTCCCCACCAGAAAGTATCTCCCATCATCTCCCTGTGTATCTTAATAGGGAGGTCCCCAACCAATGGGTTTTGATCTATGTTCATTTGCACCACCCGTCGCACCAGAAGAGCTCTGGTTGCGCAATGGAAGTTCGCGAGATGACTCTTCAAACAATGCTCATGGATCCAACCCTCAAACCTTCGCCAAGTTTTCTGATGCGGGTTCCAACTATCCGAAATCAGGGAAGAATCTTAGGCGGTCGGACAGTCCATCCATTAGGATGTTGCAAGCCGGCCCCGACACTTCTGGCAACGGCCTGCTAACTTGAACCAAGGATCTTGGTCCAAAGCCTCCCAAATCGCAGGGTAATAGCTTCGAATCAGCTCAACAATCTCAGACTGGAATTGTTGAATTGACGAGCCTCAAAGATGGTTGACTCGCCCGCGGAAACTGCGGGCCTGTTGAAGAATCCTGTTGAAAATGGGTCCCAAAACAACCAGGGCCCAAAGGCTTTATGATGGGTTGCAGGCCTTTCTCAAAAAAAGGTGATGTTCTCCTGCTCCGGATCCAAAAACCCATGGAGGATACGTCTTCCATCCCTTTCTCCAGTGCGCAGCACTCACTGACTCAAGGCCTGTCTGACATTGATGCCACCTCACACTCAAATCTCCAGCAGCTGGCACCAAGTTGTTGTTATTTGTTGCACAAGAAACAGCACAAGTACCACCAAAGATGTGCTATATTATAATTATTGGGACATTCTGCGTGACACACGAACGCGGCCGGGCAGCTGGAGGGCTTCTGGTGCGGGAAGTAGAAGACTACACTGGCGCAGGTCAAAACCACCACCTCCCTCAGCGATTTGGGCACATGTTGTTGTGCCAGCAAGGATCCTTGGCGACGAGCCCGCGGGTAAGCGTGGCGGCGTTTCTACAATGACAATATCTCACAACTTCGCAACTTGCTACTATGTTCTAGTGTCAGTCGTGGTGATGAAGAATTCCGAATGGTAATTGTGTCAGAGTGCTATAGCGATTCAGAAGTGGCAAAAGTTTTGGATCTGAGCTCCTCTCAGTTTCAATGGTCACTTGTCTGTGGAACAAAAGCCCTTACACATGCTCATGGAAGCTATCGCTGTGTAGCAAAGAAGGTGACCTGCCCCGTTTTCGGCATGCCCCGGCGCAGTGGCATGCAGAACCAGTCCGAGCCACTGGCCACCGTGTCGCTGCCCAAGGTGTCGACCTCCTCCAACTCGGCCTGGAAACCCAGGTCTCGCCCCGTGGCCTCGGTGCCGTGGCCCTGGGGACGCCGCTCAAGAACGCCACTCTTGGGGGGGATACTATTGGCTGTTGGGACTTGGAACTTGGCACATGCTTACAAGAACTCCACAACCTTGGAGCATGTTGTCCATTGTTGTCCCATCACACTTGCCCAAGGTGCCAGTTTCTCCCGCAGCCGAGCGCTACGCTGGAGCAAGCGCTGGAGCTCATGCCGGAGCTGGCGCAGCACGGCTGGCTGGTAGGTGGGGCCGAAGGTGACGTTCAAGACGTCCAGGTCAATGGCCGGAAACACCTCGGAAAAAGAACAAGGACCAAGACATTCTTGGAGTTGCTGTGGGAGAATAAAAAGACTGACGGAACTGAACTTGTCTAAACTCTGGGGGACCTCTCTTGGTTCGCCTACCTACAAAATCTACCATGGAGAGAAACGACCGGACACCTAGCTGCCTCACCTTCCTGGTGACATGGGCCGTTCGGGTGACATGAGTTCTGCCAGTGCACTGGGTGGAGATGACCTCGGCCCACCATCAACCTCGTTACCCGTTCCTTACTCCAAAGACTAGAATGAACACATTGAAGCGGCAAGAACAGCGGCCACTTGCAAAGGATTTGCTAGTCTTTCGAGTAGCCTTTTCCGGGCAGGGTCTGTGTTTCTGTGTTGCTTTTGGAAAGTGCATGGCGGTGTTCTCATAAACTGTCAAGTGGTGCGTGATGGTGCGTGTCCATCGTAGTCGCGATGGTTTTGGACCCTTACCTGGTATCCCTGGTCAACAACATCACGTGGAATATCATCGAGTATCTACAAACAAAGTTCAGCTCATCTTGATATAGTTTCCATGAGTGATATGTTCAAAAAAACAGCGTTGCATCTCCAAAGCGAATATGAACATATATATATATACATATGTCCAATGAAGACCAGGAGACCCCTTTGCTGGCGAGCTGATGGCTGAACTTCAAGCACACATCCAGTGAAGGCTCTGCAGAGCGCCACAGCTCACGTGGCACCAGGGCAAGGTCATCCTGGCAGAGCCAAGATCGAAAAGAGCACCAACCAAAACCAGTATAGTTCGTGATTCAACTGTCCGAACAAAAAGCAAAACATCACAATTGGATACAATTAGGATCGCCAATTAAAACACTCCAACTACGACCCGAACCCTATGTAAGGTGGTTTGCGGACAACTGGGTTTCGTGCCCTTTACGGCCTAGCTTCCTTTGCCCCCAACTCCCAGGAGTTCCCTCCTCCGGAGACACGTCTAGCGCCATGGCCACCGTCATCGCGCGCGGGACTCCGCCCGCGGCGCATGGCGTCGTGCCGCAGCCGGCCGCTTCCAGTGTGGAAGCGATTACTTGGGGGGCAGACAAGGGCGGCACGCCGAGTTCCTGGCGGGATGTGGCACAAAACGGTGGACAAAACCCTATGAGTAATATGATGAAATATTGGCCTTCTACCCGTTATGTACACCAATTTGGGTCGCCATGAGGACTAAACAACTTCCAAAAGCCTCTCTTGGGGTTGTCCGCCCTGGATTCCAAATGGATGAGCAAGTGCGTTGGTTTCACCTGCAATGACCAACCTTTAAACACAAATGAACAAAAAGTAAGCCAACTCCGCCAAATTCGCAAAAACAACAATCAAAGTGCCCCAACAAACAATTACACACACCGCAAATATGTGGGTTCCATTGAGGCAGTATGTTTGGCGTTGATGACCAACCAGCTGCGCTGCCAGCTCCTCCAGCTGCGCTGCCTTTGGATCCTGTTTTGAGCCCCTACCCACTGCAGGGCTGCAGCAGCTCCTGCGCGGCCTCTGCAAAGCCCACCGCATCATCCACGCAAAGGAGCACATGCGAGTGGACATTGGAGAGATCGACCGCCAAGCGTAGGGCAGCCAGGAGGAGGAAGTAGCCTGAGGCGACGAGGCCGAATCAGGAAGGGTTCCCCGTTTCATGCTTTTGAGGGTTAAATTGAAGGGAGAGGGATGAAAACAGTTGAAGCATACATCATGACATCACATGACATGCTTTACATCCAACTGAGAAGGTCAGGTTCTCGCAAGTTTTTTCGACAAGGGTTAATCATGTTTGCCATCCGAAGGAGAAGATTACAGCCTACAGCGTGCCTATATCATGCCTATATCAAACAAAACACAAAGCATTACCCTGGGTGCGGTTGTTAAATTGATTTGGTGTCCAGTAGCCATTGTCCATGGATCTTGGCACATGATCTTCGTCCCCTCCGTTCCGGTTACCACCTTCCCAACTCCAAACACCTTCAGTGAAGCGTCGCTCGGGCGCGGGTGCAAAGGGCTCGGCGGCTAAGGCCAACAATGGAGCTTGTCGGTCTGTGAGGTGGCATAGCTCGGACCTGGCTACCAGCCATGGGGGTCATGGGAACGGTGGAAAGAAGCGGTGGCCGATTTCGGTGGAAGTGCTTGGAGGTCGCGAAGCAAAGACCACAGGTATGTCCAACGTAGAATAGGAAACCAAATATCTGTTTGATGTTTTGTATATAAATACCTATGCACATGTAAACCAAATAATGACATATAAAAAACAAAACAACATTACACAACACAAAGGCATAACGCCACACAAAACCCCGTAGCATTAACTTGAGTACACACATGTATCATGTATCCACCAAAACACCGGGGTTGGTAGGCTCTGGGGGGTCAAATCAAACAACCGGAAAACCCCACATGTCCTGTTTGCCTTTGCTTTGGCAAGCGGAACAAACAAGTGGATATCGGTAAAGTGATAGCGAATGAGGCGAGACAGGTACGAGTAGGATGGTGTGATGCCACAGAATGTGCGTGCATGATGCTGGGTGCGTTGGTGTGCATAAGTTTGGTGTGAGTTGGTGTGTGGAAGTTTGATGTGAGTGAGTTGATGTGTGTAAGTTTGGTGTGCGTGAGTTGGTGGGTGAGTGAGTGAGTGTGAGTGAGAGTGAGAGTTTGAGTGAGAGTGAGAGTGAGTGAGTTGGGAACGAGTTGGGTAGGAGGGGCAGGAGGCGGAGCGCACAAAGGAAAAATAAACTAAGAACCCCACACTAACACTAGCATGTGGGGAACAAGTGTTGTTTTCACCACTGACCAACTGACCGCGCGCCAGACGCCAGGCGGCTCCAGGCGGGCGCGCGAGCGGTGTGCCACCAGCACCACTGCAGTGGATGGTGCCTGAGCAGCAACCAACATCCGCAGCGCCGTGCTCTTCCCAGCCCCTGCGGGGCCAACCTGTGCCGACCCAGCACAAGAGATGGAGGACGACCATGTCTTTAGACTCGGTATAATGACCTGAGGGGGTGCATCTACCCAACTGATATGATTGAACAAGCAAACTTGTGGGGATGAGCGCAAAAAGCTTTCCAAACAACATGGGCGTCTTGATTTGGCACGATCCTCAATTTCTTGGACAAGAGCAGTCCGCGGCTTGTGTCTGAAAGCAACTCAAGGCAAATTCTAGGAGCGCAAATTCATGCGACTGGCATTCTTAGTTTGGCTGGATTCGAATCAAGCACGTGTGAGCTAGGAAGGGCTTCATCTGCGCCGTCATATTGACTGGCTGGTTCCCATGCCTGGTTCCTGGATGTCCTTCCATGGCTGCATGTTTAGTTTGGTCGCCCAAGAGGCCAGGCCCACGCGTTGTCCTTCCCCCAGTGGCAGCAGCGCTTCCACCGGGGCCAAGCCGCTGGGGCAATGGCGAGAAATGGGCAGCCGCTTGGAGACCTGGCGACGATGCTCAAAGGGGCCCATTAAAGAAACAACAGGACATGCTCAAAGGGCCCATCTAAAAGTCTGATGGGATAACTGTTCCCAACGAAGGATTGACAAATGATGGAACATATCCAAACAACCATCACCACACTAATCAAAACATGTGGCTTGCTTCTGGAGTTTTCAGGTGTTCCGCACGCCTGTTGTGCAGGCAGCTTCAGCAAGCTTTCCTGTCGTGGCCACGGAAAAGAACGGATGAGATCCCGCAGGATGGATATCTGAAAAATTCCGTGAATCTGTGGAATGTGGTTGAAGGACTATACTGTATACCAGTTGGCATCCGAAACCATTCTTCCTCACTGTCAGCTCCCCGAAGCCGAGAAAGCGTATCGTATCCCACCTAGGGAAGTCTGAACGTCTCCAGCTGACAACGAAAACTCCAAAAACTTGATTGTTTCAGGATGTTTCAGATACAACATGATACGTATATATATATATATAGGATGTTTGGTCTGACCCACATCCATGCCGCCCGCTTGAGCGCCCTTGGGTCAAGAGAGGCTAAAGGGTAATTTATGTAAACCGACCCTATAGTTATTGCCAAGCATCCGCCCTCACACAACGTGCCTCCCACCTCGCAATGGGAGATGTCAACTTCCGAACTCTGCCAACTCGAACTGGGACATACCCCCCAGACTAACATGGAAGAAAATGGACCCCCCTGGAAGATTCTCATCACTTCTCACCACCGGATGGGGGTTTTCAGGGCTCGCCTCTGGCTTGCCCGCGGGCGAGACCAGCTCCGACAGGCTAGTCACGACCGGCGTGGTTGGCCAGGTGCGAGACTGCAAAGCTAAAGTGCCACAGGAAGTCACCTGGGAACGGTTTGGAGTGCATGGTCTGCACCCGCTGATGACATTGACCCTGAAAACCACTGGTGCAGCTAGAGGAAAACCGTCTGACAAACTGACCACCCCGGATGAGCATTCTTGGAATCAACTGTTTACTCTAAGACCCCACCCGCCGGCTTAGCACAGCCATGCACAGATCCCATCATGATCATCTTGCGGCATCGGATCGGCCCTTGCCAAGCGCATCGGCCTGTACCAAACTCAATTTGCTTGGTGATGATTCAACCAGCCAGGTCACAGTTTTCAGTCGTCACACAAGTAAGAACAAACACCCACGACACCTTTAAGCCACAAGTGAAGCATCGACATCGCCAGCACCTCCATCTGCTTTCCATCCTAACATCTTTATCCTTTAAGGAGATGCTGGCGCTCTGTTTTCACAAACCAGGTGGGGCCTTGCTTTAGATTCTTTCCCCAAATCAAGGAGTCTGCAGGTTTGCAATTGAAAAGACCTCAAGGATGACCCTGGGAGAAGCCCACCTTTCGTGAAAAGCACATGCGAGAAGCAACACCGACTTTGTCTGTGAGTTCCATATTTTCCAAGTTGTTCTGCCCCTTTCTAATCTAATTACAATGCAACACCAACATTTAACGTACCAGCACCCTCCCCCACGGGTTATCTATTTATGGCCCCTTATATATATATACATATAGATTATTCGGGGCGTCCATGAACCACCCCGAATATGGGTCCTGGCAGTCCCCAAACGAGTCCTTTATAGGATGGTCCTGGAAGGGAATCATCGGACCTAGCCACTTGGTCCCCGATGTCCACATCCGATGAGAGCGCGGCGGCAACCACGCCAGTCTTGTCGAAGCGTACAACCACCGCTGGCGTCTCGCCAATTCCTGGGGGTTCGGAAGGATGGAGCGTGCACATTCCATTGTTGACGGAACTTTAAAGATTGGGCATACTGTCACATGCTTGATCCCAACTTCATGCGGCTCCGTCCAAGCTTCGAAGGCCTTGACCTACTGAGACGTCCCCCTGCATGGTGAGCCGCAGGAGACCGCCGGTGGAGCTCTGCAACGTGCCCGTGCCCTGGCGCCTCAGGTGGAGCAGAGCCGATGTCCATGGCTGGGGGTCTATGAAGTTCCAAGTTTCATTCTGCTTGCTACATCCCTCATCTTCACCATTCCAACCCAAAGGCCAGACAGTAATCTATATACAAAGGCAAACACCTTCCATTTTTGAAAACCTACCCTCACCTAGCTTGTTTATGTAAATGGCATGGCGACCGCGCCATACGCTGCCATTTAGCCTCAGGCTCCCTTGGATCTGATTGAGCAAGCTCGTCGTCGTCTCGGAGGCCGCAATGTCCGCGTGTGCCGCGAAGCGCCGGGCCGCGAAGCGAAGCGCGTGTCCGCTGTGCCGGAGCCGCCACCCACGACGAGCTGGAAGAAGGCGCCACATGGCTGTGGATGCTGCCGTTTGGACTAAGACTTAAGAGGATAGTCGATAGTCAGGATCTCCAGACTCTAGGTAAACCTGTTTCTAGAGGTTCTTGTTGTGTATCAGCACCTTCTATCCTTCCAAGGTGTTTGCAATAGACTCGCCTGCATCACTCGAACAGGTCCACCAACGCCCAATTGAAGGTTGAGGTTCGGGTAGGTACATGCAGTTCACAGGTGCCAAGCAATTTGCGATACTTGTTGGAGAGCCATCCAGGGCTGTATGTCAAAACCAGCAGCTTAAATTGTAGACTAGGGACGGTGAGCGATATCTATGCAGCTCTTGTGCTAGATTCAGGATGGTTCCTTGGGGGAAACATCGAGGCCACATCAACTGGAGCCCGCATAAGGTTTCTATCCTTTGTGGATGTTGCTGGACTTCTGTGTGCTGATGTACTTCAAAAAATCAAAATTGTGTGCTGTGTCATGTGTAAGTGGAATGGCCGCAGCACCGCAGCAAGGAGAACTCTTGTACAGAAAAATGCATGAAAAAAACAGTCTGGTCTCCTAGAGTCTTAGACGAACTGTGGCTCCCCTTCCCAATCTCCATCTTACATAAGTCGTGAAAGGCAGGGTAAACCATTCAATTCGATGGTCAGGTGACCAATGCCCATGCGGTTGCCCACCACAAAACTCAGTTGATGGAAGCACATATTTATCGTGTATAGCTTATGTTGATCAGCTTCATCTCCTAAACGCAATCTGTACAGGACGCATTCTTCATGTTTTTTGGTAAGGTTCGCGGTTGTCGTCACCCGACCCCATGTTCTCCCGGATTGCAGCTCTGGCTCGTAGTGCGTGGCTTCCAAGCTCCAGCATCAGCTGAGGGTCAAAACAAGCACAGCTTTACTGACCCGTTCACGCACGGTCCCAGCAAACTGTGGGAAACCTGGATTGATGTTTCCTATCTTGGTGCGCATGTTTTTTTTGTTGTGACGAAAGAGTTAGGATGTGAAACAAGCGCCACTTGCACCGTGGAAGAAGCTTTGGCTTTGGCGACACCTGAAGGACCTTATGTCAATTCACCAACTTCATGTCCCGCTAGCTCGCTCTCAAAGTGCTTGCTCAGGGTGCCAGGTCTGGCGGAGATACATGATTGGACAGGTCCCTGCTGACCAAAGCAAACAACATGTCTAAGCAGGGGTAGCAAATGATCAGAGTTTTGAGGGTCAACATCACCAGCGTGGCGCACATGTTGTTGCGCTCCCCGGCCCCAGCAAAAAATGTTTGCCGCCTTCAGCTTTGAACCAAAATGGTCAATGGCAGTGTCTGGATGCATGGGCATAGATGAGGCAACATCGCAAGGTCTGGTTCATGATGGTTCATGAGTGGAAGTCCTCATCAGTGACTTGTAATTAACTGGCAGTTTTTGCATGGTATGCGCGAGGTAGAATAGGTGCACATCCTGCCACAAAGGGCAGGGAACAAGAAGCCTCTAAACACGTAACTGTTGTCGCCGCACAAGATCACGGCCTCACGGGCCACTTACGCGGCGGAGAACCGCGTGAGTGAGTCAATCAGCTTCGTCCCGCAATGGTCGGCGAGGACGCTCGATTTATCGACCGGGTCAGCTGGAAGTCAGCCGACTGGTTGCTTAAGTGGTTTGGTTTGCTTACTCCCAATACTATCCATTTTGGAATGAGGGGCACCCCTACCCAAGACGTAACAATTCCAAGGCCTTCATGTTCACCGAGAAGTGTCCCGCTGGAGATATAATATAAGCAACAATAAAGACCTATAATATCAACCTACAGCAAGCCGGAAACAACTCCTGCTAAGACAACAGGAGTTAAAGAACGGGTCAAAAAGTACATGTTGAACATCTTTCAAGCCATCTTCAGTCCAAGCATGTCCAGATCTTCCAACCCAAAAAGACATGGTCCCAATATGCGTCCCCCCACTCCCTCCGCATGGCTCCACCGCTGCCACGCTCGTCGCCCTCGCCCACCTCGAAGGGTCGTAGAGCCACTGCCGACCTCGGTCGGTGGAAAGGCGGCCGATGGGCGATGGGAACTTGACCCCCGAGGAGCCAAAAGATCTCTTGGAGCCCCCCCGAGCCGGTGCCTGTGGTGTTTTTCGTGTGGATTCATCGGTTCTTTCTGCCGGGATGAACAATGAACTTGGGAGTTTGTTTACAGTAGTTTCGAGGCACGCCTTAAAATTTGACATGGATGTGACTGGATGCGTCAACTGTTCAACGTTGGGGTGTGCCTCCAAGGAATTAATGTACATGGGCTCTACGGAAGCCATCCATGTGTTGCAGGCATGGCATCCCATAGTGGAACAAATAGACACGATACCCAGGACAATCTTAAAGGGTTCATTGTTCTATCTACAGCATGCAAAGCTTCTTCGCCATGTGTTCATCAATCTCTCCCTATGTTCTGATGGTAAGAAGTCCAGTGACTACATGTGATTAAATGAAGAACAATTCAGTAAGAATCTGAATGGTGCGCAGGAGCTTGAAGCACCCTGGACCCGACCCTGGTTGTTTTGAGATTTATCCGTCTATCCACATGTCTCGACTTTTGGCCAGGCAGTGAAATCAGCGTCCCGAAAGGCCGTCTAAAAAAAATGAACGGCCACAAAACATGCCTACTGCATGGCATGTATACATATATACCTACACAACTCAGGCAGCCACTTTCTCCTTTTCCTCCGCGCTTTCTTAGCGTCCCTTTGGCCCAGTTCCAAAGGTCCGAACTGTGGACGGTGCGACCGTTGGTCCAAAGGTCATCTCCTTTTCCGACAAAAGGATATGTTCATATATGTTTTCTGGTACAGTTTGCTAACAGTGGATGTTCTGAATACTTCCATGATTTTTGGACCGGGCCTTTCGGGAGCTTAACTGAAATAGCTGAATCATGCTGATTCTTTCTCATGCTGCAGCCCTCTCTGAGTGTGGCGGTCCCTTCTGTACAAGCAGGAGCCCAACCGACAAATAAATTGAGCTAAACTAACGTAGACGGCTGATGAATAAAACCCCCCTTTATGAAAAGGTTGTGCACACCACATGGGTGTATATTCCTAATCAAGAGTCTACATGGTTGTGCCCAAAAACGGATGGTTCTTTTTGAGTGACTCTCAGCCTTCGTACAGCCTTCCGCAGACCACGAGTACGTCGTTCGATCCCCAAAGCTCCCTTTCGGACATGCGTGGCCAAAGCATGTAAGCATTGTGACTGCCAGGTGGAGGCGTTCGCCATGGGCGTTTTTCTTGCCACCGGAACATCTGTTCTTCATGACCTTGGGCTTCTGCTGGAGATGCAAAATGCAGGGCGCGTACAACTCATTACACTCCCTGAAAGATTCATGGAAGTAGACAGCCAGGCCCTACCAGGTAGGGGAAAATGGTCGTCCTGTTGGGGCCATGCCATCCACTTCCATGTTAATGGCTAGGAGGGTACTTCTCACTTCTCCAAAGGCGGTGCCGTTGGCCGCAGTGCAGTCACTTGCAGTGCTTGCTGCGTCATCACGTCGGGCACCCGCGTCCCACTGCGCTTGCGACTGTCAGAAGGACAGGAGCCAGTAAACCATAATATACCATCCTCATCCAACAAGAATAACAATATCATCCGCCATGAGGTTTTGTGATCACCATCATTAATACAAAGGCCGTGTCTGTGTTTTGACCTCGGAAACCGCCCTCGAGCCGGGCATCTGCGAGCCAGAGATCCAGGTGGCGCCTCCACCGTTCCAGCCAACGCTCCAAGCACCGCCAAAGCCCCAGCCCCATCAAGTAGACCACCGACGCAGCGACCGTTCCGCCAGCCTTCGGCACAGTGCGACCGGCGAAGCCGAGGGTATAGGATTTGACATCCGGAAGAATGCAACCCTGTCCAAGCAAGGAGACCAAGCACCGGAGACACAGCTCTCCAAGGGGCGAAGTGTGTGGGTTCTCATTCTGTGTTCACTCACCATGGGTGATACCATCTATATAACCAAACGAACCTCCTCTTTCTTCCATTCGCTTCCAGTCATCATGTCATCATGAGGCCGAAAAGGAGAAACATATTGGAACATATCTGACAGAATTCGATCTGCCATCTATATGGCTCAAGCCCCAGAGAGTGGATCCAACATCCCCATCCATGGTGATCTCGGTGTTCTATTCTGGGATGCAGCTGCTGCCAGCTGAGAACTGCTCGGCCGAGGCTCAACCAGCACGAAGAAGCTCTCGTGCACAGACAAGGTGGGTAGCTGCCAGGTAGCGAGCAGCGAGATGGGCGGGAAATAATTGGCCAGCAGCATTCCTGAGGAAATCTCAGGAACGTCTCAAGGAGACGTTCTGGGATAGCACGGATAGCCCGGATTATATAAGTTTACAGCTTCTTGAAACGAATCGTAAGAGATGATACCTTCTAGATCCTTTTAGATCCCTCTAGCTTGGACCAACATGGACCAAATAACTGAAGAGGACTATAAAATGCAGGACCAAAACAGCTCCCAGTTTACTGTTGTCACCGGAGGTGACCGGAACCTCCCAATTGGAGTGTAAAACCAATCCATTTTTCTTCAATCAACCCTCTACGTGACCAGACCCTCCCAACAAGTGCCCCTTTAACAAGGTTGCTTTGTAATTTAATGTGGATCCACTTTGTTGTTTGAGTGGGAACCCCTGTAAGGTAATGTCAGACGGGTTGTGAATTTTAACGGGAGTCGCACAGATCCCGTGAAGTGTGCGGTGTGAGGACCTCAGACAACAAAAGAAGCAAAGCAGGCTTAGGAGGCTAACTTGCCCCTCTAAAACGTACACCAGAACCCATATGTTCATAATCGTGTTTGACGTTTTGTGAACTGACAGATGATTCGCAGCTGAGGACTGACATCCCAAAAAGCCCCGTCGTCCGAGCGGCCATCCCAAAGGAGCAGCCTCGGAAGGAGCAAGCGAAGGCGAGCAGCTGGAGGAAAATTTGGTGGAGTCGTTTGCGGCTAACTTTACATGAGAAATCATACTCCTCGCAGATTCACCTGGAACCCCAAAGCTGGAATACTCCGCTGTGGAGAAAAGATGGTCTTCCGCTGCCGCTGGTCAATTCTCAGGGTCCAGGTTTGTGCCTAGGGACTGAAAACCGGACCCACTTTTGAGACATTTTTGGACTCCACGACGCTGGGTGATGTCTTCACATGTTGTTGGGGTTGGGGGTGGTGGGGGTGGTGGGGGTGGTGGGGGTTCGAGTGTCATTTCGTTCTTGTGTTCACATACTTTGCATGAGCATAGGCTCAAGAAGTAGCCACGGTGTGCGCTTTAGTTGTGTTGTTTCGGTTGTCAGGTGTTCCCTGTCCTCTTCGCTTTTTTGTGTCTTCTTCCTTTGTGGCGCGTCAACCCTTTTTCTTTAGACCAGGACGTAGACGGTTTAACTCGTCTTTCTTCTGACCCCATTCTTGCTTTTGTTCACGAAACAGCTTTGGATTCAGTCCGTTGCTGGGTAAACTGGGATCAGGTGTTAGAAACTCGTCTTTCGTTGTTCACACTTTGGTGCAATGTGTGGTTGCTGAAGAAGACCGGCGCTGCTTTGCGCCGCCGCTGAATTGCTCGACAATGGCATCTGTAAAAAAAATGTGCGCTCGGAGCCTGACTGTGGAGAGCTACTGACATTTTAAAAACAAAAACAACATCAACTTCAGGTGTCGCGAAACGGCTGTTTCTTTCCACGCAAAACGCATACAAAAATACTGCGTTTACCAATCATTTTGACATGAGAACATGCAAAACAGGGTACGGTTTCCAATCCTAGTCTGGGGGGTAGAGTCTTCGGGGCGATGCCCGTCACGGCTGACCCATTGATCCCCAAAAGACCCACCCGATCCAGCCGTCCACGTCGCGCCACGACGCGACGCGCACGGCGCTGAGAGTCTGGCGCAATGGCCACCCGTGCGCCCTCATTGGCAGACACGGTCGTCTTCCGCAAGGTCAAAGCAACATCCTGCAGTTGATTCGTTTTTCGGAAGGGCAACACGAAACAGTGTACAAGGAGTCCTGTCAGAGTTTGTTCGGCCATCTAACGGCTTGTTCTTCGCACGAAGCGATCGAAAAACAGGGGCATTCACCGACAGAAGCCAACTCGAGCCCAAATCCCACACTTCAAAGCCCTTCCGCACGTTTTGGGGTACTGAAGTCGCTTTGGAGGAAGGTCACACGTCGGCAAAAAACATATGTACTCCGATACCGCCCTGTTCTCAGGCCCGTGTAGCCGTCATGAAGGATTACAGGCCACCGACGGATCCAATCAAAATCGGTGGAGTCGCCTGGTGGAGTACATCCTGTCACAACCCTTATGTTATATATTTTTTATGTCATATAGTTGGTCATCTCAACTCAATTGAAAAGTATTAGTCCGTGGTTTCAATCAGTCCTCCCAACTACAGATTGAACATACAAATATCTAAAACCACCACCCAGTTATAGTGATTAAAAGGACATTACCTGAGACGGAAAGTGAATGACATGGACCCCTTGGAAGACCTTGATTCCTCTATAACTAATGTGAGTTGGTTCCATGCCCATTTTTTCCACTTTGTAGTGATTGGTTCCTGGAAGGCCATTGTTCCATCATTCTTGGAGGTATTGTTTTTACATGTATTTCAGATGTCCTTTGTCCTGAACGTTCCAAATCACCAAGGCCGAGATGAAGATACTATTTCAGAACACTCATGTAACTGTAGTGGCAAAGTTGCAGTGTGTGTTGGGGATTCCTTTTTCATCAGCAGTGGGAAGCATTTCAGAACTCCATCCGCCTGAAACAGAACGCCACAGGGAAGAGGGTACCAAAATGAACAGTTTTTCAGATGAATTGACGGTCCATGGAGACTTCTTGTGGAAGGATGATGAATAGAGCCCCCCTGGAGATGTGAACAACATTGAACAACCATCTTGCGATTAAACACACAAAAACAGTAATGAAACAAGACACATCACCCTTACAATACCCTTGTGGATCAAGTCTTGGATGCTTCATCTTTGATGCCTCCCTCGGACAACATCTGCCTGTGCGGCAAAGGCGACCAAGGCAAAGCCTGATGCCACCTGTCGGTCTGCGGCCCGAAGCTTCTGCCGCGTGGCCTCCCGCCGTGTTTGTCTTCTTGAGTGTAGCGCCAAGCGAGAAGTTGGGGAAAGCTTGCAGTGTTAGGGGAATTGAGATTGGTCATTGTTTTGGGGCGAACTCAAACTGAAAAAAAAGAACGGACTTTGACTTTGACTTGTTTCATCCCCTCTTCCGGGCGGAGCTTCGTTTCATTGTGCAGCAACATCCCGTTCTGCTGGTTCATGCTGAACATAAAAACATGCGCGACTCTCTACCATTGGGGCCAAACCAATCCCGGCTGGGGCAGGATCACTGGGCAAATGTGAGGTTCTGGCATGCTGCTTCCGCGTCTCAGTGGAAGTTAATTTATGTTCCTATCCCAAAACATCCAAAACAGCCCCCCCAAAGAAATGATTTCAGGGGTCGTACGGGATTGCCTTCACGTTTTGAGGTTGGCGGTGTGCTCTCAGTCTTGCTGACAAGAAAAGAAAGAAGAGCCGTGCAAAGCATGCAAATGCGTCCAAAAGCCTGAGGGTGACCGATGCTTCCAACCCCCCAAGCAAAAGCAAATTGAAAGCATTCTTGCAAGGGGAGCGACCGGAACAGACACATCGGAGATATTTTCGGTATGGACTCGGGTAAACGATGTAGGCCATGAAATGTTCAACACCCTTAGCACATCCTTTTTTACAGTACAAATCTTCGCCAGCCTCAACCTGCAGCTGCAACCTTGCCTGAGTTGAGTCCATTAACAAGAGAAAAGGTGGCTTGGCCGGAATGGGTCTGGGTTCAACAATCGCTATGCTGCTTATTTGTTGATTTCAGCAGGTATTGGACGAAAGCTCATAGCAAAGCCTGATGCTTAATACTCATGTTTTCATGCTTGCTACAGTCGGCCACTTTCGTCTGACGGGAAGCTGAGGACCACAATCCATGCCAAACTAATTCTGATCATTCAGAACGAAAATCTCTCTGACAGCAAATTGCCCAGGCCAAAGGTATCAAGAAGGATGGTAAATCACCCAGCTGGTATGGAGATAGCCGTACGGGGAATAAGCCATTGATAGTCATGCAGGTCCGCTCATTGATAGCCATCTACAGTAGTTCCCATATTATATCAATAAGCGGCCTACTAATTACAGTATATATTGATGAAAAGGGAAATCTCACAAGACAAGGCATGCTCAACAAAAGGTTTCCAAATACAATTCCCCCCCTGCTTTCTCCCTCTCTCTCTCATTCGCCGTAGTTGGAACAGCGAAGACTGCCCTCTGTCCCACTTCGCCGAAACGCATTGATGCCAACAGCGCCCAGCGCGATCTGCGAAGGGTTAAACGCGATTGGTTGCAGGTCATGCGCCCCCCAGCGGTAGCCTTGGGCGTGTTAGGCCGTAAAATGGCCAAGTGAAGGTGGGAGGTACGTCATGTCCAAACAGTTGGTCCCACAAATGGGCTTGCAAACACTAAGCCATGTCAATCGGTTTCCTCTCAACATCGAATTGCCGCCTTGCTTGGCCATGTACCTCCAAGTCGGTCGCCACGTTTCAACCGAAAACTGATGCGTCAGCTAGAATCAATAAAATATATTTCATATTGAGAGCACATTCTTTGGTCACCCTGGGGGTCCCCAGATGTCCCAACTGAGCCAAAGGGACTAGGCTCGGTGAACACCATGAGCGCTGCACAGAAGAGGTGCACGCATGCAATCACCGTGCAAAGCTTCGAGGTCACCATGGCCCCGGGGTCGCGAGACCACGCCCCAGCGGCAACCCGGTGTGTTGCACGTGTGTTTGTTCGTGCACCGGTGCTGCTTGGCGGAGGGCCCAATGTGTGGCGGTGGAATGGGAAGGGTAGGAACAAGAACACGGTGGATGTGGAGAAACGGCCAAAACCTGTGCCTTTACATCTGGCACTTGGTTGACATGTTCAATATACAGTCGAATACCACTTTGAATACCGTATGAGGATTGGTTTCCATCAGGCGTGCAAGGACCTTTGTTCCGGAGTACGTTTGGGGTGAAACTCATGCTGACGAACCGTTCGTGGTTCGTGGCGAAAATTCTGTGGCAACTGGACGGGTACTCGAGCCCTAGGTGTGGCAATGTGCGCTAGCTACGGCATCCTCCTTATACTATCTACTATTTCGCCTATCCTGAGCAAGCCAAACGACGGACCAACTCCCCCACCACGTGGCTCTTCTCAGCATTTGGAGGCTACGGAAGGCCTGGTCCAAGCTATTCTGCATCCACTGAGCCACTGCAACAAAAACAGCTTGAATGAGAAACCATACTCCACCTAGGGCCTTTTTGTTTCGTTCATACCTCAAGCATTCCTTGACAAATGTCCTCGATCTCGAACCATTGTCGCCTGAAGACCTCTACATTCCAAAGGGCGCCATCTTCGTGTCCCCAGGACCTGTTCGTGTCCCCAGGACCTGTGTCCCGCATCTTCCTGCCATGTTTTCCGCACACGTCGAAGAACAGCACGGTTCGCCATGTAGAAAGGGGGGAAGGTCTGGATTCATGTGCTGAGAGGAATGAACTTCTGGAAGCCTTTGGAATTGATCGCCATTGATCTTGTAGAAGTGCTACTGGGCAGGGATTTCTATGATTATCCCTCCCATGGATGGAAGGGCTTAACATCTTGCAGCCAAACAACAAGTAACAGCAGCATGCTCACAAAAAGGCTGATTGCTACCATACGCAATTGAGCCACTCACATATTCGTTGGATCCCCCAACGCCGGATGATTCCTGGATCAACTTCACAAATAGCCGCCATATAAAAAAAAAGCTTGTGCTGCAGAATTGCTGCCAGCTTTTTTGCTCTTACAAAAGCACAATCTACCAGGACCCTCAAGGGGTGGTTGATGGACACCCCTTAACAGCTAAGGGGCTATAAATAGACACCCCGACAGGAGGGTCCTGGCATTGACAATTGAATGTCCAATGCCCGTTCCCAATTGGAGATGCCTGTTCGATGGCCCCTTCTGACGTCCCGCACAGCGCGGCGCAGGTGCGGGCAAACGCGGCACCTGCGGCGTCTGCGGCGTCTGCTTGGGACACCCACGGCTGGCGCCACCGCCATGGAGGTGCAAAAACCACACCTGCCGCCTCTGGAAAGGAGCTATACCGGTATACTTCGTGTGCTTGTACCTTTTGTGGTGTGGGGGGGGTCCATTCTCAAAGGAGTCACTCATAATAGGAACGACTGTTCCCCTTGGAATACGGGTCAAAAGCATAATATGACTTAGCGACTATTCCGCCCACCGCTCAAGCAAAGCAGATGGGAACCGTGAGACCTAAATTAATCCCACATGGGTTAACACTCCTATATGGTTTGCATATGACTCCCGATCAGTTGGAGTGGTTGATTCGGGATTCGGATGTCCGGTTGCCAGTCCCATCATCATATGAACAACAACAACAACAACTGATTAGGGGTCCTACCATTGTCTCCCAGTGGGGAACCAACAACTCACTGTCGTCTGGCGGGTAAGCAGCTGGTTTCGGGTAGCCCATTTGGGAGGTAATGACAAACTATGAACAACTAATAGTGGTGGCAGTGGTGGTCTCTCAAAAAATGTAGAGCTCCACGGCGATTCTTACTGCAAGGGTGCCAGGTGACTCTGTCAAAAACTGTCGGAAGTAAGTAGAGGTGTGTTGGGAGATTCCACTCACTTCTGGAAAAAAAACAGGGATTGCAACATTGGCGCCCCTCGGATGTTGCCCTCGACGAACCTGTGATTGTCTGGCCTCATGTCCATCACCCATGTGATTCCTCGTTCAAATTGTTCAATATTCCTTTCCCCCATATTCTCTTCCGTTACCAATCGCCCTGGTATTATTCACCCCCCATCCGAACTCCGCAGCTGCCGTCTTCTCTCTCGCCGTGGCAGCGTCTCAACTCCGCAGGAAGGCACAGCAGTAGCGCGGGACACCGCTGGAGCCGGTCTCAGGCTCGCGGACCTCCACAGCACCCAGGAAGGCTGCAAAGTGGAGGAGGTACTCCACTTCGCCTTCGTTGTGGATCGATGGCTGCCAAAACGTCCGCATGGAAAAACATTAAAAAATAAAGAATTGCTCTCTGCAGGCCAAAAATTTCCAAAAAAATCCAAGAAAAATGATGAAAGGTGAACCCCCTTCTTGTCAAAGGTATTTGACATTACTACTTGCTACCCTGGATAGATACCAATTCCAGTCCAGGATGCTAAAAGATAGTTTTTTTAATTGTGTTTTACAAGTTCTCGCAACATGTACGTCCGTGTACGTCCATCTTGTGAATTCACGTCCTTTTGAAAGCCTGAACGGTTTTCACGTCCAAAGCCTGAACACTATTGATATATGTGAGTGTTGTGAAAAAGACCAAGTTCAGGGATTACGGTAAAACACGTCCCGGACAACAATTCTCGTCCTTGCATACCAAAAGACAACAATTAGCGACATGGACAACAAAAGGTGGTTACTGTAAAAGGTTTAGCAGGTACGTTTGGATCCCAGCGTAGTTTGTCCTCCCATAGTTGTCCGTTTGCTTCTCCGAAATGTTCAGCAGGGTTGGGAAATGACTTGTTATATCCAATGAGGACTCCAATGAGGGTGGACCATTTTCTGCTTCCTGCCGAACGGATCGCCGGAAAGGACGGAGCGATGAAGGTGCATGTCATGGACGCTTCGTGTCCACCTTCAAATTCCTGGAGTGCTAGCCATTAAAGCAAAGCATTAATCAATGTGGAGGGGAACAGGTTGGTCAAAGTATCCGCGACATGTTGGACCGGTGGACGCAGTGTTCACGACTTGTGACTTGTCCAAGGTGGCCGGCCGAACAAGCATCCAATGCCGGTGATGCTGTGCCTTTTCACAATGCTGTTTGGAGCACCCAGTCAGGAGTTTCACAAGCGCATTTTTGTTGCGTATATTTTTTTGGTGCAAGGTTGGATGGCACAATCCATCCCTCAACTTCCAAACAACCACCCATGCTCGGGAGCGTCACGCTTGTGCTCGGAAGTTGCACGGGAGCGTGAATGCGACATAAAGCACTGCCCCCTGCTGGTCACCAACCAGTACAAACACTGAAGTGGATCACCGCCTTCCCCACAGCACGAACAAATCCTAAACCCTTAAGAGTGCGGTTCCCTGCAAAATTCCTATAGTTCATTCCAACTCCTACCAGGTTCCTCCAAAAAGTCCTCAAAGCATTAAGAACCTCCCATTGTTGCCACATCTGCACACACACACACCCACACACCCTCAGTGCCAACTGCTTCCACCTTGCCCAAGCCACAAATGTCCAGGGTCGCCAGGTGCTGAATCAGCCTTGGCCGCCGAGGTCCAGCTAACACTTTGTCCAACGCCGAGGATCGAGGACCACACCCGGGCGTGGTGTTCATATACTACAGCCCCAAATGGGCGTGACTTCAACATTTTCTGACAACCACCTGGTCACATGGGGAACTTGATTAACTCACATCTTTGGGAGTCCAGTCCATGTGGTTCATTTCCTATGGGTGCCGAAATAAAACATGTTTCGCACTCAGGGGCGGGGTAGATTCAATGACAGTCGGGGGACTCCATTATATATGCATGTATATACATATACATACGCAACAAGCGAAACATGCATCATATATATCCCAGACACTCCATGGGACTCGAGTATTTATATACCTACATTGACCGTGACTTCAACCACCCCTATCTGCATGTAAAACTGCCAGTCCCATGGAGTGCCGGGTGTGGTGCAAGGTGTTGCAGCAGAGCTGAAGATGAAAAAGCTTGCAGGCGATGAGCTACAGATTACAGGAAGAACGATGAAAAACGTCCGGACATTTCAGGCGTTTGGGACTCTTGGCCTTGGATCTCTTCAGGATTGAGTATTTCTTGGGAATAGAGTGTCCAAGCGTGCCAAGGCGTTTGCCAAACACCTGTCCTGCCTGAAAGCGCTTGTGCACATTCCCAGTTGGGGTTCCCATGCCATGTGGATTCCATCCTTTCTCAGTTTGGCCCTCCACGGCAAAGAATGGCTGGATGGATAGATTTAGCCATACCCAAACACTCCATGTACAGAATATTTGACTACATTGACCCCTGAAACCGCCCCAATGTATGTAAATATGCAATACACGGAGTGTCTGGGATAGGCCATAGGCTTGTTGATTGCTGCAAGAAGTTGCGGGTCTGAGCTGAACCCAAAGACAAACGTAAGAGAATCAACACATGAGGCCTGTCAGGCTCTGTCTTTGGCCTCTTGACCGGGTCATTAAAGGAAAAAAGTGTCCGGTCATGAGTCATTCATTCCTTCTTTTATAGCCACTACTACATAATGGGAACTTCAACCCACTTCAAACCATACTGGGAACCTCACCCCAGTAGGTTACAAGCATAGGGGTGCTGTTGCGCCTGTTTATCTATGGTCCAAATGAAGATGATAACCTGCCTCAGAAAGAGAAGTCCTTAGACAAGCCTATATATTCGCATCTAAAGCTGGTTGATCGAACGGTGTTTATAAACCAAGCCGGTTGATCGAATGTGTTTTTTAACGCCAGTGGTTGCGCAAAGGAAATAGAACCAGGCTTGTGAAACATATTTCGGAAGTATGGTGGTCACATGATCTTTGACATACATGTTTCGCTTATAGGTAAGTTCATGCCTCGAAATGGAAGGATGCAGCATGTATGAAATACGACATGTTCTTCGGTTCAAGGACCATCACGTGCAAAAAGACACGGTCCTTAAATGGAGATGTGGAAAGGAAAACTATCTTTGCAGGGAAGAGTTTCTCAACATGACGTATAGAACTCGGAAAATGACGTCCTTCTTATTGAGTTGGGGCTCTTGTCTGTAGGCGATCACTTCATAGAGGAAAATGCTTTTACTTGTGTCTTGAACTAGGCCTAGTGTTCAACTTTGTTCCCTTCTTCTTCTTCTTTCCGAGCCACTCCGCGGCTGAGGACCATGGATGCCGCAAGAGTAGCTGCAGCAATCTGGAAAGCAAACACCGGAAGATCAGCACCTCAACAACTCGCGGAACCGAACTGACGACGGCGGCAGCCCGCAACAGGCGTGGCAGCCCGTGCCAAGGTCTTCGAAGTTCTTGTTGAGCCGACCCTTGATGTCAAATGGGAACCTATTGCTATTGCAAAAAAATCCATCATAATCATGAGTTCTAAGATTTTTAAGATTGAGAATCGCCTGTAGCACCAGCACTAGCTACTGGCTGGCTCTAATCAGGCCGAATGAACTAGGAAAGGGTCTTGCCAGGTTCTATGGCTCGATATGTGTCCTCGACATGGCACTTGTTGTTCTATAATTTTGACTGGTACATGCTTGCCGTTCGGCCTCAACTAAGGCCTTTGATTCAACATGTTATCTATGCTGTTTCTGCCAGCTGTTGATCGATTCCGTTGCGATGTTTGCGTCGCAACGGAGTCCTGGGATCCACCCAAACCATTTCCCTTTCACACCCACAGGATGTTGCCGGTGTTTGGCCGAACATCCATCTACATAAAGAAGCATGCCTGGGTGCTCATCTTGTCATATTTGTTCATTCTGTCATTCTGACATTTTTGTGAGACCCTCCCTGAGAAACATGCAAGCGACAAACCGCCCCTTTGCTGGCTGACTGCTAATGACCCGCCGAGCCGCCTCAAATTCTTGATTTCACCCTGAACTCCTCTCTTCCTCCCGTCTGTCGACACAGTAATACACCAGGTAATTTGATCTTGTACTTTGTTATCTTGATGTCTCATTGTGACATGTCCTAATCATCACCCAACGTATGTCAGGGGACTGTTGTTACAGGGCGGGTCGTTTCGCTGTACGATGCGTGTGTAAGGTTTCCAAAAGGAGGTCACCCTCATGGTGCGGCTTCCCTTCTGTCATCAGCTCACTTGATCAAACGGGCTCGGCAGCTGCACGGTCGGCTCAACGGTCGGGACCTTCGTCCACTCGGAAGCAGGTGATAGAAATCGGTTCGGGACCTTCGCCCACATCAAGACACCTCAAGAGGGACCAAGAGGGACCTTGAAGTGCAGCCCCATCTGCTCCCTAATGTAGAAGGACGCCGCCTGAATCCACAACCCCTCTGCACCAGGAAACCTAAGCCCTCATCTTCTCACTCCTTGTCGATATATTAGGATTTCTTCTCCTGGACCCTGTCCTCGCCCCAAAAAATGCCCAAAAGCTCGTGCCATGCCCTCCTCCCCTTTTTCCATACAAAGCACGTTGAGCTGGCCCTTGGCGTTGACCCACGCGCAGGGCGCCACGAGGTCCACCCCGCTCCACCCGTTGATGCGGAGTGAGCACTCTTCACACGCCTGAGCCACACAGGCACTGGCGTCTGCGATGAGCTCTGCGGAGAGATTCAGAAGGCGTCCATAGGGCAGCAACCAGTGGCGGCCCAGTGGTCTCTCCTGATGGACATGAACAGGGATGCCAAAAGTCCCAAACAAATAGGCTATATGGAAGGCTAACATGGAACCTGACAACCACTGGGTTAGTATTCGGAAAATCGTCTTCCAATGGTCAAATTGAGGTTCCATGTAGGTCACTTTCTAGATGATTTTACAGTGACAATAGGCTTGAGCTGCTGGAGGGTCATGATTTGCATTGTACTTCGCATGCAAAGTTGCCTGAAGACAAGTTCCAGTCGTGCATTTTATTGGGGGTCATGGATGCAACAAAACCCTGCAAACTCCTGACACTCTCAAAAATCCGCAGCTGGAGTGACTGTTCATGTTATATCGGAACACTGCAGAAAAAGGCATCCTTCCTGACGCTTCTGGTTGACCACTCGCCACGAACAGCAAGACATGTACTTATACCGAACATCACTCCGAACATCATATATACAAGAGATTACAAAGAGCACCATAGAGCAATACATCAGCCATACTTCACAGTACGGCCATACTGTCTACAGCAATACTTTCAGTATATGTGATAAACTGCTGACGGCCGTTGCTCGCACGCTTTCGAACGGTCATCCCATGTCTCTGGTGCTATCGAACGGTTGCCTCGTCGCAGTGGATCGATCATCATTCCGAAAGCCTTTCGACGAGAGGTTCCACCGATGGGGAGGCCTCAACCCTTGGGATCGATCCATTGCATTCCAGTCACAGAGGGCTCGAAGGGGTTCTCTGGTCACCTTGGAAAACAACGAGTATCGTATCCTTTTCGATTCCTGTGGGAGCTGCTCCCGCCGAATGGAATTGGTTCAGTCTCAGCACTCCTGGTGAAACTGGGCCAACATCTTTAAGAACTGTTCGTGACCCTTCTCGCTCTGCCAGCGGAGGCAGTAGGGTTCCGCATGGCGGGCAAGCACCAGGCGGAAGTGAGAGCCACTGGGAAAAGGCACCACAAGCCTCAAAGGGTTGGCTTTGAACAAATGAGCCAATGATCAGGAACCAGATGATACAAGAAAACGTCCAAACAACCGTGCACATAATCATTCTGCACATCATCCGGGCTCGTCCCGTCTATAGTTCCAGACGGGCCAACTACTGAGACTTTGTGGGGAGCTGAGCTGCTGTGAGCCCGATGATGTGGATTCAGGGCCCAAGCGATGCAGAATACTTATAAAGTTATGCAAAGTTATGCACACGCGGCAATTGAAATCATAAAAGAACAAATTGATCTATCACTATCACCTAGCCAAATCTAAGAGAGTTATTTTATGCTACAACAGCATGACGAGGCAGTGAATGAATTCCGGAACCGTGTGTGCCAAAGCCTGAGGTCCTCTAAGCAAGTCAAGGCCATCTGAAAGGTCACAGAGCCAAAAGAGCTCTTGTCCTTGGTTCCGCCCCAAAGCCCTCGGAAAGAGCTGTGGAAGTTCGGAGACTCTGCGAAGCATGGCAGGATTTATATTAATAAACATGGGGACTGTGCAAGATCACAGCTGATTTGAAGCCACAGCTATATCGGAACCAATGAAACAGCTGAAAATGGCGAGCTGAGGAGCCTCGGAGCAAACAGCTGAATCCGGTTCTTACAGTAAGTATTCCTTGAGCACGCTAGCCGACCCAAGGTTGCTGAGTGGGATTTGTTGCAACTGCATTTCTCCACACATGTCTATTTGCAAAAGCTGCATCTTCAAGTTTGTAAACCCAGACACCGGGCTGCCAACCGTTGTAAACAAATGGACCAGCATGTTGTGTACATCCTGGTGGTGTGAACTGGGGCAAGTGGAAGGAACCTCGTAGCTATTCACCATATGTTTGCTGCGCAACTGCCTTCAAATATAGAATGTATATTTATTATTTATGATAGAAAGCCGATTTTCAACCAGGGATTTGCTTGTGATATAGTGGTGACTTTGGACCCACTAAGAGTTGTTGATTTGGGGGTTCTTGGGAGGTTCACCCTTTTCTTCCGCACACGTCGGCACCACATTAAATGGATTTAAATGGCAGGTCTCGAAAATATCCTGGAGCTCCTGCAGGCTGTGACCAGGCAACAACGAGCTCTCCTCGCTTTCCTCCTGAGTGTCACGCGGGTTTCCGAGTCGCACCATGTGGGACTCTGAGTGAAGGAAAAAACACAAAGGTGGACGGTTGATGAAACAAATTCCTCTCCATTTGGATTGTGAAACCTCTTTTTATGAGGGGCCGTTGATGATCACCAGACTACATTATTCTACATTATGGTGTATACTGTATACTCCAAGGCTTCCAGGAAGGTCCAACAATTCTGGTGCTTTCACCATCTGTCCTTGGACTCGGCCACAGCTCTCAAGAGGAAAACAGCTGCGTTCAACAGATCTTGCACCTCAGGCAGGAGTCCAGCGCTGGTCCAGCCATCCAACAAAGGCGCCCGTTAAATAAACACAAAACAAACCGCCATGATTCGGCAACCATTTAAGACTATGACTCGGTGACTTGTCATTCAAGGAAGGTCTCACAAAACGCTCCTGGATGACACCAGCTTTGCCAGGCTTGGCCATCACGTGCTTCTGAGAATTTAACCGTTTTGGATCCAGTTTTTTTGGTCCGTTCTCCCACCAACGGACGTGTCACTTCACGGGGGCACCTCCGACGTCCGACCGGAAGCGTCATCCCCTCGGTGGACCATCTCCACGTAGGAGCCGAAGGCTGCCCGCATCGCTGTTCTCGACTCGGGCGGCTTCGGGTCGCCATCCTCACTCGGTATCCAATGGAGAGAAAGAAACATGGCCTAGATTCGCGACCGCCGCTAGACTGTCATAATATTAGAAGAAGAAAAGTCAAACTATATCATTTAAGCTAATTACACCCTTTACATTTACTGCCTACTACGCATACATTTTTATATATATATATAATAGTATGTATGTATATATTATATATATATAATACCTAGAGCCTGGAACGCTGCTTCTTTTCAGGTGCAACTGACAAGTTGCAATCACCAGAAACCTTGACGCAGCCCGGCCAGGATGGCGTTGGCCAATGGTTTTGCTAGGTTTGACCAGGATAATGGTAGAATTGATGACTCAATATTCAAGTCATCATCGGGGCAGGTCTTACCCCTTATATCACTATCTTTTGGAGAACAGCACTCGTATGAACACATCTCTGGATGTACATGAGTGAAAGCTTACATGATTTGAACATCCTTGAACTTACCAGTTGGCTTATATGTGTGTGTGTGTAATTGTTCTATGTACAATATAGACAAATGCCACAACGTCATTTGTGGGGAGTGCCCTAAAGGCAACCACCCACTAGAATCAGTGACACACCGCAATGACACGAAGCCACACGAACGCAATTTCCACTCAGGCCTCGCCAAACCGCATGGCACAGTTGTTTATGTTTCATGTTTAAACGTTAGTTGCTAGATGTCATTGCTATATAGTCTGATGATGGAAATTGCTTGAGCAAAGAACATCGAAGAATCACTATTGTTTAATAAAAGGATTGACACACGGAAAATGAAAAAGCCCTTTGCTTTGGAAGTAATTTCTGAACTTCTTCCCGGGTTCCCATGTTTGACCCCTTTTCAATTACTAAACCGCTCGACCAGAGTTGTTCCTTTTTCTCTGAGGGACGGGGCCGTGTTTTTTCATGAGTCGAAGGAATTTGACATTTCATTACTGGCCAACCTCTTTTTTTGGGATGGCACCTTCCCAAAAGGATCACCATGAAAGCCATCACTTATTCAGTTACAAACAGTCAAGTAACATGACACAACTCAACTATAGGAACTTGAAGTTTTGTGTCCGTGCACTTTCTAGAATCGCCTGCAACTGTTGTACTTGTGCAAACACTATGTGCAAACACTGTAAAAACACTCCAGTTGTCTAATTGTGCCGAAGGCGGTTGATTTGGATTTCATTGGATATGTCCTGGATCAATGGGAAAAATAGCTCACGAGTACCGTCTGAGCGATTGAAGAACCCGAGCAGTGTGCCAACTTGGACTTGGATAAATATAATAATATAACTAAATCCCATTACCAGCAACAGCCATTAGTACAAAGGCGTGTCTCAACAAATAGTGATAGTGACAATCTGTTACCAACAGTTACTGGTAGTGGAGCACACCCTAGTTAAATTGAACCCATGTTCTTCCTAAACCATCCTTCAATCTTCAGCACATCTGAGACACTGCTTTGGCTGTGGTGCCATCGTCGGCTTGTTCAGCTTCCTCCTCAACCTCATCTTCGGATGCCTCCTGCTGTGATCGCTTCGGGTGCTTCTGGGAAGAAAATCTTCGATCGCTTTCCAGGAATTTAAAGGCTACCAGCACCCTCCAGCAGGTCACCACCTGCTACTGTTAAGTCTCCAAAAGCCACCAAAGGTGACCCGTTTGTTGGAGGGTGCTGGCCAAACAAATCAATCACCAACTTCCTGAACCACAAGTGCACCTCTTAAACGAATAAACAAAACACTTGTGTCTGAGCCAATCACCACAAATCGCAAAACTGCCCCAGAATTCAATTCAGATCACATTGACATGAACCATGAATCCCAGGTCCTCTTCAACGTCAGCGGCTTCTGCTCCATCGCCCGTCGTCCTCTTCTCCCCGCACAGGAACATCTGCCTCAAACAAATTAAAGGCACAGTCATGCGATTGTCCGACGCTCCTCAGGTTGTCTGAAGCTGGCCAGGTCTCTAAGCTTGAATCAGGATGTTTCAATAGGATCCGACTGACTTGGAATCCTAAAGGGGCCCCAATTGCTTGTCGAGTGCATCATGCCCTCGCGAAGGTTTGATCCAATGAACTCCCATGCGCGCCAGAATGGCCAGAACTTGGGATTGGAGTATGAAACAAAAGGACGTCCCCTCCCCCGCACTGGGTACCCCACTAGGTGTTTCATTGTAAATCTATAGTCTTCTTGAAAGATTTTGTTGCGCCAGTTTGGGAATCCTTATGCCAATTTGCCGCAGTACTCGAGATCCACCTTTCCACCTGAGACCCATTGGGATGTGCTGTCGGTCTCCCCCCTCAGAACACTTTAATCATGACAAAAACTACTTTCCCCTGGATCCTAAATGAACGCCTCCAGTGCGGAAGCCTGAGCCAGTGAGTCTTGTGGGAAGTAGTTATATCAATCCTGCCAGGCCAGGGCCATGTTTTCAAATGACCCGAGCAAGAAGCAAGTCAAGTTGAAACAGCTCCAAGAAAATTCGTTCAGCAAATTTGTGCAGCAAACATCTGGAAGGACACTTTAGTTATTTGCCTCCAACAAAGTTTGTTTGAAATAATCCAGCTAACCCAACATCTCTTTTTTGATCGTGGTAGCAGTGGCAGCAGCAGGACGAGGAGGAGCAATAGCAATAGCAGTAGAGGTAGCAATAGCCGAAGCAGGAGGAGAAACACCATCACTAGCACTACTACCACTAAAACTACTACTGTTGCTACTACTATGCCTACCCCTACTGCTCCTACAGCTGCTGCTATAACGGCAACTACAACGACGACGACGACGACTACTACTATACTAGAACAACAACAACTACTACTACTCCTCCTCCTCCTGCTGCTGCTGCCACTGCTACAGCTGCTACTGCTGCTGTGGTAGTAGAGGCAGTAGGAGTATAGTATATATACAGTATAGTAGAAGTAGAAGTAGAAGTAGTAGAAGAAGAAGCAGTAGTAGTAGCAGTAGTGGTGGTGGTGGTAGTGGTATTGGTAGTGGTATTGGTAGTGGTATTGGGAGTAGTAGTAGTAGTAGTAGTAGTAGTAGTAGTTGTTGTTGTTGTTGTTGTTGTTGGATGTTGCTGGTAGTATTAGTAGTCGTCGTCGTCGTCGTCGTCGTCGTGATTGTAGTGGTAGTGGTTCGTCGTCGTCGTCGTCGTCGTCCTCTGGTTCAACACTATACCCTCTTCCCCCCTCGGCACATTGCGCGAGTGCTTCGTCGGGGCACGGGTTGAGCGGCTCATTGGGAAAGCAAACGATCCGAGAAATCTCGTCAGGGCTCAACAGAAGAAACTTAAAGAGCTCCGTCGTGGCCTGAAGGGAGGCAATGATCATCAAACCCATTGTAGGAATCGGAGTGCAAAATGCTGCGAAGAATTCGGTGAACCGTACTCCCCTCCAAAAATTCAACCTTCTCCTTTGGGAGGTATTGGAGAATTAAGTTCATCTTCCAATACATGTTTGTGGGGGAGCAGGGTGCCAAGACCGTTTCCAATGTAATTTTTCCACCACATCTTTAAGTCCTTGTTGGGGGAAGCTCAACAGTTCCTCACGATAGATTTGGCTAAATTAAGCCAAATTCGTGTGAATGTGATCAAGTTGGAGCCTGCAGGAATTCCTTGCAAACACATGCTGTCGACATCTTTGCGGATTTGATTCCAACTCGTTTTCCCTGTGTGCGTTTATCTCTGGGAGTGTAAAATTCAGCGACTTTCGGATCTCAACGTCGCCAATGGGGCCTAGTGGGGTTGATAGCAAGTCATGCAGGGAGTGGTGGTTTTCTATGGTTTTCTGTGGTGTTTGGGACCTCACTGGCCAGAGGTGTGTGGGGCTCGAAAGTGAGGGCTGGAAATCAACATGGTCGCATGATCCAAGTTGCATGATAAGCTTGAGTCAGCTGAGGCAAGATCAAGCCAATAGTGTGCACATAGGACCCCCCCATTAGTTTGGTCCGCCTCTGGGCCTCCGGGCGTCAACAAACGTTCAAAAGACAAACTGGTAATACCTGCATGGTATCTGAAAACTTGCACTGCCTGTTGGCTGGTGCTGATCCTGACTGATCACCTGATCTTGGCCCCTGGTGGAGGAGTGAATCAAGCCTTTGGAACAATTGGGCTCATGTGAATTCCTCACAGACTCTTCTTCAGCCACCCCCGGCCTTGGAAGAAGTTCTCGCGTAGTTTATGAATTGCCTAATCAATCAATTAACCATTCGCCACACACAAAAGAGGTCCCAAGTGCCTCAACTGTCATGATGAAATTAAGTCTTTGGGGCCTCTCCTCATGAAGAGATTTAGTCTTGGGGATCCCTCCCATGAAGAGATTTAGTCTTTGGGGCCTCTCCTCATGAAAATATTGGTCTTGGTGACCTCTCCTGATTGACCCCCCAAAACAAAACAAATTGCACTTTTGTTACAACCCCCACATAGCAAATCTCGAGGGGGTGTTTTATCATTCCGGTGTTTCCATAAATCATTAACCACCAGCCACCCAAACATTGAGGCCTTAAAGGAAGGGGGCGGTTGATTGCTGGTCCACCTCATGCATGAATGATTTCCACTGTTTTCGTAAGCGACTTCACACATGGATAATAAGAACATCTAAGAACCGCCCACCTAGGACCTAGGCAGCTTAGTGTAGGCCCCACCAACCGCCCACCTCTTGTGGATGAATCGCGTCACGCACGCGGAACAAAACTGTTTGGGGCCCCTCATGTCAGGGCCTCTCTGCGCAGGGGCTTGTAGTTCACCGAGATCGAGTGGAGTGTGGGCTCGTCACTGGTCATCTTCAAATGCGAGGCAACCTGAGTGAAACCAAAGGTGCGCTGCACGGGCCGTCTGTCTCGGCACTCTTCATGCTTCTTGTGTGGAAGGTACGGTGAGAAACCAGGTAAACGAAGTCCGATGCCGCACCCCTGACGGCGCTCAAGAAAGGCGCCCAGTACAGGAACTGGATACTATAGCAAGTGCAAAGAATCGATTTAGTTTTGAAGTCCAGGTTTCAACCTGGTAAAGGCAGCTTTCAAAGGTTGGTCACCGTCGGCACGAAACCGGACAGCGGAGTGGCGGAGTGCCCCTTCTTTTGTTGCCCAGGCAATATCGGCTCGGGGTGCTTTTGAGATCCCATGAGGACAACTCATCTCTAAACGATTGAAACCCATGTGGCCCAATCACCAGCTAGTCCATTGGGGAATTGTCATGGGCTCGTACAGGTCATGACAGGTGGTTGCCTTCCCGGATGTCTCCAAGCATCTGCACGGAAAACAACCTTTCAGTGACCGACGGATCAAGGGTTTACTGAGGGTCTGCAGAAATTCTGAAGAAATGCAGGCGAGTTAGTTCCAAGAGGTTGCAACAGTTTGTGCATATGGGTCACAAATTAAAGGGAAGTCTGTCTAACTGGTCACTGGTTCGCTGCGAGCACCCAAGTGATCCGTGGATATCATCGGGTTTAGAGTTTGAAGTGCATGGACCAAGGAACACTGTTGTTTGGTTGATGTCGTTTGCCCATGACCACCAGACCACCGGTCACAGCGGTCCAGGTCGCGTGGGTCGTTCTACCGGCTCCATCGAGTTCTGGTCCAAGCGACCCCACCACACTTGGCCACACCTTTCTCACCATCGCCTTCCTCCTCCACGTCGGCATCATCGTCCTCCTCTCTTGGTTCGATCTGCTTCTTCACCTCGCGACAGTTGGGGGATGACAAGCCTTTCAGAACATCATGAAAATGGAAATTAGGAAAATTAGCCCAGCTGGAGACCCCAATAGCAAGATACAAACCGGGACAAAAAGAAAAATCTGGAAACAGCTGCTGTTTTCAACACATCGACCATCTCTTCCTTGGACACCATCATCACATAACCGGGACACCATCACAAAATGACCAGGGCACCATCAAAACATGACCGAGACACCGTCACAACATGATTGGGACACCATCACAACATAACCGGGACACCATCACAACAGGACCGGGACACCATCAAAACATGACCGGGACACCGTCACAACACGACCGGGACACCATCAAAACATGATCGGGACACCATCACAACATGACCGCGCCACCATCACATGATCGGGAGACCATCAAAACATGACCGGGACACCGTCACAACACGACCGGGACACCATCAAAACATGACCGGGACACCATCACAACATGACCGGGACACCATCAGATGATCGGGACACCATCAAAACATGACCGGGACACCGTCACAACACGACCGGGACACCATCAAAACATGACCGGGACACCATCACAACATGACCGGGACACAATCACATGACCGGGACACCATCAAAACATGACCGGGACACCATCAAAACAGGACCGGGACACCATCACAACATGACTGGGACACAATCAAAACATGATCGGGACACCATCACAACATGACCGCGCCACCATCACATGATCGGGACACCATCAAAACATGACCGGGACACCGTCACAACACGACCGGGACACCATCAAAACATGACCGGGACACCATCACAACATGACCGGGACACCATCACATGACCGGGACACCATCAAAACATGACCGGGGAACCATCACAACATGACCGGGACACCATCAAAACATGACCGGGACACCATCAAAACAGGACCGGAACACCATCACAACATGACTGGGTCACAATCAAAACATGATCGGGACACCATCAAAACATGACCGGGACACCAGCATCACATGACCCGGACGCCATCAAAACATGACCGGGACACCATCCGCCCACCAGCTCTGACGGTGACCCGACGGCGCCCGTCCGCCTATTAGTTTTGCAAGACCCCATAGCATGGCTATTGGGGAATTGATGAACGGACTTCCGTCCTGCTGTTCTTGACACGTCCCACAGCTTTTCAATTGGAGAACCTTGCGGAACATCTTGGATTCATAACAATTGCCTCAATATTGTAGCATGCTTTTCCCTTGACAAAATCGATGGTTGCATATGGTTGCATGCTTGAAAGAGCCCGCCCCCACCCTGCTACAGTGCATGACTAAAGAGGGAGCTCTAGTGGAGACACCTTCCCATGATACATTTATTCAAACAAGGTCATTGCAGAGTCAAGGCTATACACCTCCCCACAACCTCTGGGGCCTTTCGTCGCTCGCCCGCACCTGCCAGGGCGGCGGCTGTTCCACCACCCTCTGGTAGAAGTCGCCATCACTCCATGTGGGCCGCAGGTGCAAAGCGCCGCCGCGTTCTTCGCCGAAAGAAGCGGCACCAGAAAGAACCAAAAGCCTTGGTGAGTGGAACAGTGAGGCGAACATATGGGGTTGTATTTTGATAGGGAGACTCCCCACCAAATGGGTCTTGGTCTACTTTCCTTCTTCCAGGAAGGGTCTTTGGGAGGTCTCCCTATTTTAATACACACCCATATGCTGTAAACTCTTTGGGCGATCCCTCAACTTGGGCTGTGGTACCGGGACACTCTCTAGCTGGAGTGCCCATGACGACGGTTTGGTGCGTAGGCACTTCGTTGCTGATGCACTCGATGGGGCAAATGATGTTTCGACTTGAATGTGGTGTTACAAATTCCGTCCTTCACGTCCGACAAACTTCACATGATCCGGGGATGTTGGGGCCAAAGGGACTGCCTAATGCCAAAGGAAAATATTTTGGGTGGACAAATGCTCTCCGGGACAAGAAACATATTGTATATATAGCTATAGTATGTTCTTGAAATCTGCTGAACTGCGTCCGCAAGACGGGACGAACCGCAAAACCATGGGAGTCCATCTCTCCAAATGCCCAAGGACGGATTGGATGCGGGATGGACCAAAAATTGAAACCTAGAAAATGCTCAATGCTGCACCTCTTGCAGTACAAGTGTGCACACACACAGTACACATATTATATGCTTGCAAACCGGATCACCCCCCCCCGCTGACACCGGTTTCCCTGCGACCCTCAAAGCGATTCCTCTTCGACACCCAGCTGCTGAGGGCCACTGGAGCCTTCGGGCGTCATGACCTTCTCCTGGTCAGGAAGAGGCGAGCAACTGCACTGCTGGGCGAACATGTGAGCGTGTATTGAAATAGGGTGACCTGACCACCTTCCACCCACCAAACAACAACTGGAAGAGGAAACGCATATGAAAGCCCGTTGGATCGGAATCTCCCTATTCTCATCCACTGTGGGCCAAGTGATGGGCACACCCCCCATTCGAACCGAGTGTGGCTCCGCAAGGGGTGTGGGATGGTGTGCTGAGTTGGCCAAAGCAGGTCCAAGGGCCCAGTTTGTTCCGGAAGTCATCCACTGGAGTCCAACACCCCCTGAGTGAGGAGGAAGACTTGGACACTGAACCCTACTATGCGTAATTCACCGTAATTACCCATTCTGTACAACTCGGTTTTCTGGCTGCCACGGCTCAGCCATGCTTGGCTGCGCGCTCGCTTTCGTCCGGACCGGATCGGCCGGGGATCGCCGAGTGTCGATGCTTTTGGAGCCAATAAGGAGGGAGAGCACCTCCTGCCATTTCAGCATCTCAGACTCTCTCCCAAAGAGCCGACCCCGGCTGGACCAGGTCAAAATCCTTGGGCGGCAGCGAAGAGGTTCTTGGGGAGGTCATTCTTGATAGTCCTTGTGGTTATACAGACTTTCTGAACACACACTCAGATTACACCCAGTTGACACATTTGCATTTGAGTTGCAAGCAGGGTGTGCCACTAGCAGCATGATAATCAAATGCTGAAGTTCTGAAGAGCCTAGCTGCACTCAAATGAGGCTTCCCTGATGATCAAACAGATTGAACAAGTTGGACCTCCAAGCCTCCAAGCGGGGTTTTTGCATACAAAGCTGCGAGAATTTGCGGGAACTTGCGCGGATTTATGCCCTTTAAAGCCTTTAGGGCTATGTGGCCTCCACCGTTGTCAAGCAGTGCCAAAGGCGCGCCAAAGTGGGCGCGTTACGGCGAAGGACGGGTTGACTGCGGCGTTAACGCGCGGCCCGACTGGCCAACGAGTAGACTGTTGGGACCCTCCTTCAAACCGTCGCTGCACCGGCTTTTGTACTCTGGGTCTGGAGAGGAATCAGAAGCAAGTGCATAATCCGATTACACGGATTATGACGGCCGCGCTGTCCCACACAGTAAGGAAAAAAGGATCCTCAGGATCCACAACACCACCGGGTCAGGGCCGGGCCAGGGGTGCTGGTGATCGGACCTTTGTGGAGTCAGAGATCATCTTCCGCACGATCACCATCTTTAATCCGGTGGCCACCCATGGCCAGATGGGGGTCTCGTGCCCTTTTCCGCTGAGACATGGAAATTCCTTCTCTCTCTCTCTCTGTTTTGGTGTGCACTTGAACACCCACAATCAACCGTGAAACAACACGCCAACCAACCAACCAACCACCCACCCAGCCAGCCAGCCAGCCAACCAACCAACCAACCGCCACAGCCAAGGATCCACCGAGGCCTTGCGTTCTTGGGGGAGATCTTCATTCCTTTCCTTGGAGAAGCCGACGACCCGTCAGAAATCGGACCCGACAACGTCATGGACCCTTTGACCCGACCACCGTCGGATGGTAAAACAAATGTCTCTTCACACAATGGAAATCAACCGGCTGTTCAATAAGCTGTGGGAAATCACGGACCTGCCCCCTGGAAATGGTGGAACCTATTTCTTAAGAATCACCATGAACAATCTTTAAGCAACTTCAGGTTTCGCTTCTCTCTCCTTGTGCTTGCTCACCATGCCATCGCATTGCCATTGCCGGATCACACAATCCATCATAGCCCTCAGGCAATCCATTGGGCTAAGGCTTCTTCGCAAGTCAATGGTTTGTTTGGGCGGGTGGAGGTGGTGGTCTCATTGATGCTAATGTTGGCCATGGAATGGCAAACTCCCCGTGCCAGGATGCTTCTACATCTCCATATGGGGCCTTGGTTGATCAACAGTCAACACTTTGGAGTATACTGCATCTTCAACATGATAACATGTTCTGCTGCTTCCGCCCGGGCTTTGCGAGACCCAAACTGTCACGAAGTTTCGATAGCTGGTAGGTATTCTAATTTTAGTTGATGCAGTCTTGCTCCCAAACCAGCCGGGGAAAGCTTCAGCCAACCTTTCGGAAGGTCTCCTAACAATTCCGAATCGACGAGATTATCATCTCCAATATCAATATAATATATACATATATATATCAAAACTGTACAGTATTATACAGTATATATACACCTGTTTGAGGCACTAAAAGCGAATTGTGGTGGTACGTCAAGGCTCTTGCTCTCCAATCCAAGGTCTCCACCCGGTGATCTGTTTGGACACATTAGCACTCATCAACCACAAGAAAGAGTTCCAAAGTAAATGAGATGGCCAATGGTTTGAAGCAGCACTAGGCTGGTGCAAACTGACCGATGACATACCAGCACCTACAAGAGCCTAGAAGTGACAAAAGAAACTGGATCCTTGATCCTAGCTGGACCACGGTCCCCCAAAAACCGCATCCTCTGGAGCCCACGCACATTTCGCAGAACGCGATCCTCTCGGGCTCCACACCTCACGTCGGAGTTCAGGAAGTCATTCCGCCACCACCGTGAGGGCGCCTCGTGCACCGTGAGGAGCAACGACTTCGCCACTGCTCGGCCAATGCTGCTCTTGGCCTCGGGCGGGTGAGGGCGATAAGGTGCCTGAACTCCGAGTCCAGATGGTCCAGATTTTAGACCATCCCAAGCCCTTTGGAGTTTTTCTGGGGAATCGTGATCGAATCTTTTGCCAAATCTTGGATTACACATCGATGGGATTGTGCCACTTGGAGTCAAGTTGGGCTGGTTGAATCCTCGTCACAGCACAAATGGTCTATTGTTCCAAGTAAACTAAACCATTTCAAGATACAGTATGACAAAGTCTACCATGGACATTGCAAGGCAAGGACTTGTGTCTATGCCAGTCTATATATAAGAAATTTCCATTGGAGATGCACTATACTCAGTCGAAAACACCTATGGGATGCGATGGGCAGTCTTCAGTCGGTGACTGATAGCTCCAACAAAAAACAATCTAAAGGACCAAATGAAATACTATCACCAAGGGGGCGAAGATTTGGAAAATGGCCTGCACGCCATATCACACCATTATATTAAACACAACCCAAATTTAAGAAACCCGGAACTAAATTAATGATATTCCAGCACAATCAATGCAAGATCGGTGTGGGGATGCACCTATCTTGCAGGTACAACCACGACGTGGAATACTCTACACAAATGCTGAGAGGCCCTCATAGCCAGCACAGGGGGCGTATTGGCCAACGCATCCCAAATCCTCCAAACTCCTCCAGACTCCAACTCCTTCCTCCAAACTCCTCCGTGCTCGTCCAAGCTTCTCCGACCAATCCAGGCTCCGACTGCATCTCCAACGAGCGCAGCGCCGCCACGGCACGGCGATTCTTCACCTTTCAGGTGCGATGCAGCGCCGGCCACGGCACGGGGGCTTGGATTGAAGACTCGGATGAGAGGGGCAAAACTGGGAACGGGAAACAACACAGAATTCAAGGGAAGGAGGATGATCCATGCACAGGGAAGAGAAAAGACCCTATACCCCACTCTTGCTCTCTAGAGAAGAGAGCACCTTATCCTAAGTGCTCACCTCCTAAGCCTGATGATCCACAATCTAATGGGAACTTGGCATCAGTTCTCAGCTGGTATAGGCATAGGTATAGGACCTTTCTCTTTTAGCATGGTCTTGGGACAGTTCGTCCTTGTGAAAAGCAACAAACACGCGTTCCCAAAGAATCACACTTGCCAAGTTCATGGGGTGAGGCTCGGGTCCTCTTGCCACCTGCGCTTCAGCATGGAAATGTCTTCTGTGTCCGGTGTTTCCCCAAATCATGTTCATGTCCCATCCCACCCAGCCAGCGGTGGGGATCCCACCCCAATCCCACCCACATCCCGCCAGCGCTGGGGGAAGAAAAACCATGCTTTCCGAAGTCCCCGGATCTGACGGGATCTGACATCGGACGGATCTGACGGGTGACATCTTGGCCGAGCAGTCGATGCATCACGCTGCGGCAAAAGTGTGCAGACCGCCCACTGAGCCGTGCCAGCAGCGGCCAAGTGGAGGCATCCGTTCGCAGCTCACCACCGATGGGCCGCACAGGCGGGGTGGGGGCGCCCTCAGAAATCGCCTGCATGCCTGAGAAAGGGGAGGAGAGAAGGGAGATGGAGTTGGAGGGGGAATTGGATTGTAAAAACACGGCTGG